CTATGCTTCTTTCCTTTTGGGCTTCTTTTGGGGCTTATTTGGGTCTTTATTTGAGGCCCACTTAAGCACCGTACGAGGGCCCTCCTCTTTCTCTTTTTAGGAGAGCTTATTGGGTCTCTCTTTTAGAGGCCCAATAAGCCCCTTTTGTAGCCTTTTTGTGGCTTATGGGCTTGAGGGCCTCAAGTGAGCCCACCTCCCCTTAGCCCACTTGTGGGCCCCATATAAGGGGAGGTAGGACCCCCCTCAAGGGAGCGCCGAATTTTGTGAGAAATTATCATTTGTGAGATACCTTCTTCGTGACCTAGGATAGGGAGGGGAGGGAGAGGAAGGCCGTCGATACCCTGAGGACTTCGTTCATCGTGACGCTGCTGCCGGAGAAGTCCCGCTGCCGCCTGACTGGACGAAACGGTCGTGGTTGCCCCTGCAGCCGCTGCCGCCTTAGTTGGAACCCCGTCACACTGTCGTGACAAAAGGGGCTCACTTTGCCTCCCTATGAGCCGTCGCCAAGCACTCCACCGGAGTTTCTCAACTCCTAGTTTGACTGCCACCTCTTCCTTTGGAACTCCACCATAAACTCGCCAGAGTCGCCATTCACCTCTTCGCTCAGTCGCTGACCATTCGCCAACGAATGCCTACCTGCCACCGACATCAGGAGAGACCCTGCTGCCATGCCGACGAGCCAGATCCAATCCAAGCTCCTCACAGGCCCCCGCTGGAGTTTCCCGATGATCCGCCACCGTCGCGCCATTTCCAACACCGCCTAGACCAGGAGGGCTCAACCCTCCCTAGTATCGTCGGCTGGATCGCCTCCGTCCTCTGCTCCACTTCCCGGTGCTGCTAGAGAAGGTTGATCCTTCCGGCGACAGTTGGGTTTCTACTCAACCGCCGACGCTTGGCATTCCCGCCAAAGCATCGTCGACGCTCGGCACTCTCGCTGAAGCGCCGCTGATGCTCGGCATTCCCGTCGAAGCGCCGCTGACGCTCGGCACTCCCGCCGAAGCACCGCTGACGCACGGCATTCCCGCCAAAGCGCTGCTGACGCTCGGCATTCCCGCTGAAGCGCCGGTGCTGTGCGGGCCCTGCGTGCCGGCACCTGTGGCCCGCATGCCCACCAGGCACTGCCGCCAGCGTGCCCACCAAGCGCCGCCACCCGCATGCCCTGAGACACGCTGCACGGCTTGCCGCGCGCGTCCGCTAGCATGCCCTTCGGCCCACCAGCGGGCCCACTCCCGATCCGACCGTGCCACGTCTTACGACGACGACTACGACGACTCTCGACCAGGACCGACCATCGACGTTGAGCATCGCTCTACATCGGACATCTCTGCTTATGTCGAGTCTCTACTTCGTCACGACCCGCCGAGCTACGCAGCCCAAAGGTTAGCTCCCTACCCCTTCCTCTTAAGTTTAATTATCTTTTGAAGGGTTTTCTCAGCTCATTTCTACCGCCATCAAGAGAACGTAGACAAGATAGGACGGGTTATTGGATCGTGGCTTCCAACGCTGCGCCAGACTCGTCACCGTTTGTGGGCTGCAGCCCTAGGCTACTTCACGACGACCGTTCTGCCGTCTGTCTGGACGTGGACCGAGAGGGCCTCACACTTACCATTGTCGAGTGTTTCCCCGAGTTGTCTTGGGTTGATCATGCATATTGGTAAGCCTACCTATACTTAGCTTACATGGTCAAACCTAGAGTCTAGGGTCCATACATTCTGACCGGATCGGTACAAGGATCTCGCCCCATCCCACATCACAAGAATTGCGTACTTTCGTACCCTTTTTGCCTCTCAACCGATTAAGATCTCTGAGGATATACTCTCATCGATTCCATCCTTAGTTACCCACCAGGAGATCTCATCCATTATGACCATACTTACTAGGGAGGAGATCAGAGATGTCATCTTCTCAATGAGTAGAAACCGAGCACCTGAGCCTGATGGTTTTCTAACGGATTTCTATTCAACATGTTGGGACATCGTTAGAACAGATTTAGTTCATGCCATCAAAAAATTCTTCCGCTGCAAAGTCTTTCCACGAAGTTAGAAAGCCATTGCACTCATACCAAAGGTGGTCAACCCAACTTCTTTTAAAGATTTTCGACCCATCAGCCTTTGTAATGTGTGCTATAAAGTTGTATCTAAGATTATTACAGCACGACTGAATATTTTTCTTGATAGACTCATATCTCCATAGCAGTGCGAATTTGTTAAGGGACGGCACATTCATGATAACATCATGCTAGTTCACAAACTAGCACAATCCCTTGACCAGGACATCCGTGGTTCCAACGTCATCATCAAACTAGACATGGAAAAGGCTTTTGATAGGATCGAGTAGAATTTCCTTACCAAAGTGCTTCGACGCTGCGGATTCACCAACGAGTTCATTGACTTAGTCGATGCATACGTTAGGGAGAACCATTTCTCCCTATTGGTGAATGGCACTTCCACACCTTTCTTCACGGCCACATGAGGGTTACGGCAGTGTGATCTCCTATCACCCACTCTCTTCGTATTGGTTGAAGAAGTCCTTAGTCGAACCCTCTCCTGAGCGGTGACACGTGGGCTTATCCAACCATATCATTCGAAGAGGGGTTGTCTGATCATATCGCATTCTTTGTTTGTTGATGATGCGATACTTTTCCTTAATAGGTGTGAAGCATCCATCAGGGGACTCATGACTATCATCTCGAGCTACGAGCGGACTACAGGTCAACTCGTCAATGCCTCGAAGAGTAGTTTCATGGTCACATCTTCTGCCACCATTAGCATCATGACACATACAGAATCTAACAGGGTTCTCGCATGGTCATCTACCCTTTGATTACCTTGGATGCCTCATCTTCCTCGGACGCACTCGGGTTCATTACTTTGATTCCCTTTTGTGCAAGTTGAGGAAGAAACTTGACGGATGGAAGCTTCAGCTTCTATCCTCAGGCGGTCGCATCCAATTGATACGCCATGTCCTCATGAGTATGCCCTTGCACCTACTTGCAGTACATAGGGTACCGGAAACCGTCTTACGCTCTGTGAGGTGGATTTGTACCTCCTTCTTATGGGATGGTCAATTCGACGGGCCTCATCGTCAACGTCAAGTTTTTTCAAAGAAAGTATGTCGACCGATGGACGAAGGTGGCCTAGGGATTAGACGCCTTGAGGATATCCTCGACATGCTTCAAAAGAAACTCGTATGGCGGATGAGGACGATGATAGCACCATACGACACATACAGAACCTAACAGGGTTCTCGCGTGGTCATCTATCCTTTGATTACCTTGGCTGTCCCATCTTCCTCGAACGCACTCGGGTTCATTACTTTGATTCCTTTTTGTGCAAGTTGAAGAAGAAACTTGACGAATGGATAGGTAGATACTTCTCTTGTTTGAAGGAGCAGACGAAGAAATTCTCTCCTTTGACTACAATGGTAATATCAGCTGGTCTCTCGTTTACATGCTTATTATGTCTATGATCTCATTATGATATCTAACAATCAAAATTACTAGTTGTTGGGACGTACTGAAGTTCATTAGTCTGGATTTAGTGACGAGTTTTCAATCTTTCAAATTGGTGGGGTAGCTTTGACTAAGAATCTTGTTGCTGCAGTTTAAGGAAGGTACTCTCAATTAATTTCTATTTTCAGCTTTAAGCTATTTTTGTTCCCTATGTTTGTTGCGTGATGTTCTGGAGTCCTTATTTCAATCTTAAAGTGCACTACCTGATTATTTACCTTACAATTTCTTGCAAATAAATGTCTTGGACATTTCAACTTGATTTCTTATTTTTACCTATATTTTTTGTAACTTGTGCTTTTCAATATCCTTTAGTGATAACTTTCATTGTTCATACTAAGGAAATAAGTATCCTATAGATTGATTGGATTATAGTTTCAGATGAGTTTCTTAGTTTGACTTTTATGGGTGGGACTAAGGTTTAGAAAATCTATGTTGCAATCCATAGTTGAATGATTACATGGACAATCATTTATATCACATGTAACTTAGCCTCAAGAGTTGAAGATCAAGATGATTCATGCCATGGATCTTCCCTAAACCACCCGAGGCATATGCTGATTTGCACTAATACAAATGTACCTAAGTAGGCTAATTTTTCTATTTTTACATTTTTGTAATGTTATCCCCTATGATGTGTTCATAAGTGTTCCTTGCCAATTTGGTGATCAGGTCTCTAGATTCTAGGGAAATTTTCATATGATTCAATAAGTTTCTTAAAGTATAAACTCATTTTTTTAAAAAAGAGATAATACAACTGTAGATTTTATAGATTTGGCATGCGACACATGTGGAATATGGATCTCAGAAAGATATGAACTCATTTTTCCACTAGTATATAAATAATTAAATGGGATTTCATGAGATAGATCAAGCTAGAAAGTTTTCTCATGATATTAATTAATAGACATATGTAACCTAAGTCATATGATTGACTTCCTCGCTTACATTGTCACTAATGCCTAAAGAGATTACAAGAAGTGGGGATGCAGGAGTAGCTTGAGTGAAGATAAAAAAGCCAAAACAAATGTGATCTATTTGGGAAGTTTACTTTACATACGCTCCCTACTTTGATGTTTCATGCCAAAGAAACCCCATTGATCATAGGGAGAAAATATGAAACCCTCATTCAACAAGACGGCCACAAAATTAAGAGTAATATAAATAATCCAGCTTTGTAGTAATGTTGGTAAATTTGTTGAAGTGTGTCCAAATGTGTCATAAATGTTGTAAATTTTTTATGTGATTTTCATTTTCCTCTTTAATTGTTAGTTGCTAAGGGAAGTAGTAAGATTTGGAGAACCAAATGATATAATAAATGAAAAGATTAGATTTCTTATATTATATGTTAAACTTTGTCCAATATTAATTTGCTACTAAGTTCTTCATGCAATTCTAGAAAATTAACCCATTGACATTGTGAAGGTTAGTTCATTCCTCCTTGCTCCCTATTGAGCATTGTTTTGGATGACTGATATTGAAATCTAGTATCATGGGATCAGCCCACTACCAATTAGTGATTTGTGATCAGTGCATTGTGGCCCAAGTAATTTTTCATTTAAGGGGGTGTTTATTTATCTTTAGGTTTTCTAGCATCCTCTAATGACTCTTGTACTTATTTACTACCAAATTGATCTTTTAAAATTTTAATTTCAATTTCAAATATAATTTGAAAAAGAATAAAAATAGATATATGGGCCTAATTTCGTAATTGAGCTAGTAAAGCAAGCTTCAAATTGCAATAGTTATTTAGTGTGCATCAAGTATAGTGGGCTTCAAGCTGCAATAGTAATGGGTTGCAAGGAAAAAAATTATTTTGATGAAATTCACAATGATGTTGTTGAGATGAATGTCTGTAATCTAATTTTTGGTAGAAAGATTTAGATGCAACTCACCTTCGTAGAGATAATCATTATATTTTTTATAAAAATATTGAGAAATTTGTTTTAGGCTCAATAAGAGAAATATAGGTTTTTCAAAGTGGATGAAGAAAAGGTTGAAGCTATTAAAGCCTGACCAGTTCTATACGAATTTGGGCCCACTTTATGTCCTTTCACTTCTAGAAAGTACTTTATGTCTCATTCTTTCTAGAAGAGACTTTAATGTGGTTTAGCTTGTATCTAAGATCTGTTCAAGATCTGACTATTAGATTCTATACCTAAGATCTACTCAAGGTCTCTCATTGTTAGACTCTACTTTAGGTTATGCCAGAGTATTTTTAGAAGATTTGTCTAAGATCCCAATCTGTTAGAGTCTATTTTAAGTTATTTTAGAGTTAGTCAAATTGTCCCCAAGATTTGTCAAAATCTTCCTTTTGAGGAGTGCCCAACCTCCTTTCTATGCCTATATAAAGGCCCCCATTGTAACTTGAGGTACTCACTTTTTTTAATTGAATCAGTTTTTTGTACTGTGAGAACTTTTCCCTCTTGCTTGTGGATTCAGGCACCCCTTTGTGAATTCAAGGGTTAAAGACTCTAAATTTGTGGAGTCAAAGACAAGTTTCTTCCCCAAGATTGGAGCTTTGTGGATTCAAGCCCATATCTTATTTATCTTCCGCGTTACTATTGTGTCAATTGGTATTAGAGCAAGTCAACGTTTCAATCAAAGTTCAAAAATGTCACGAGGTAAATCTACTCATATTGGTGATGATGATTCACCTAAAGTTTTTCCTATCTCAAAATGAGATTTTATTACTTTTCAAGATTGAATGGATCAAAGATGATATTAGTGATACCTTGAAATAACTTTGGGCAAGAATGAGTGTACTAGAGAGTCATTCACGCCCTCTTAGAGATCATGAAATCAGACATCCTCAAAAAGTCACTCATGTTGAACCTTCATTAGATACTCACTATTCGTCTAGTTCTACATGTTCTAGATCAAGTTTTGAAGAAAATTTTTGAGATTTTTGTTTGAAGATTAACTTACCATGTTTTAATTGTCATTTGAAGATTAAAAAGTTCTTAGATTAGTTAGTTGAAGTAGAATGATTTTTTAAGTATATGAAATTTTTTGATGAAAAGTAAGTCAACTATTGGCTTATAAACTATTTTTAATAATTTTAATACCTAAAATACTCTTTATTTATAAGAATGGAATACCTCTTATTTATAAGATGAAGCTCCCTAAAATATGCCCCACCTCCATCTAGCTCATTTTTATCAAATAGTAGTCGCAGGAGAGCCACATAATCACTATTTTTGTGCTTCACTAGATGATAGCCATTAGAAATGATTTGATGACTCATTTTATTAATTTTTAAACTTTGTAAGAAGATCTAGAGATTGTCTACATCGTTTGTGTTCAAATAGAGCTTTCAAAGTCATAGACATTATATGATAATCATCCTAAATATAGAATTCTAGCGATCACTATCACAAAGTCTAAACTCTATCTTTTCTTTTTTTAAACATAGATACATTGTGTGATTTCATATTTTTGAAATTATTTTTTATTAAACATAGATTTGACTCATTTAAACATAGATAACTTTTACACAACTTAATTTGACTCATTAAATCTTCTGTAATCATTGACGCAAGAATTGTCATGCAAAACTCTATTTTGCTCGATTCTTATTACAAATGAACCATAATAGAAAAGCTCGCCCTATGTTCTGAATTTTTCTAATACAAACACCACTATGAATAATTATTCTTTAGTGGCCATATAATTCAATTGTGCATTTGTAATAGTCTTACTAGCATAATAAATAACACAAATTTATTATTTATCCTCTTCTTTAAGATTGCACCAATTACAAACTTAAATGCATTGCACATTATTTCAAATAGCATGAACCAATCTGGCATTTGAATGATTGGTGCTTCTATCAAGGCTATCTTAAGAGTCATAAATGAATTAACACATGCTTCATCCAAATGGAATGAACTATCCTTAGATAATAAAGATGTCAATAGCCTAACTATTAGAGAAATCTTTAATACATCGTCAATAGAACCCAATATGCCAAAGGAATGCTCTAATTTGTTTGACTAATTGTGGTGGGGGCAGATTGATGATTGCATCAATTTTTGCTTTATCCACTTTGATTCCTCTCTCACTAATAATTTTTGTTAACACATTGCTTTATCACTAGTAGATTGACTAGATCTTGCAAATCACAGAAGGATATTGAAGACATGATCATTCACATAAATTTCAGCATACATAAAGGGTATGGAGTCACAATCGATAGTGAAGGCTAATCGAACTTTTGAGAGAGGCCTCCTTCGCTTAAAAGAAGGCGCATATTTTTCATTGAATCTTAGATGCTTGATGCAAAAGAAAAGGTGGAAATGCTCCCTTCTTAATTTAATGTACATGATGCAAGTGAATTGGAGGAAAAGTGGAAATAATAACCCTTGCAAGTAGATTGAACCCAACAAAAAAAAAAGAGTTTGGAGAAGGGGTTTTCCATTTACTCCATAGGGCTTCCACATGTGAGATTTGGGCAAATATCTCCTATATTAAAAAAAAATCAAAAATCGATAACATTGAGAGGGGGCTTCCCTTTGCAAAGATCTCTCATAACAATAAATGGAATTAAATAACAATAACAAAGAGGTCATCGATGGTGAAATGGGATTTCTAACTTATCTTGTGGGATTCCACAGGAAGCGGAGCAGAGGAAGGAGACGATCCGGCCGACGATACCAGGTAGGGTTGAGCTCTCCTGGTCTAAGCGGCGCCAGAAACGGCGCGACGGCGGCGGAGCGTCGGGAAACTCCGGCGGGGGCCTGTGAGGAGCTTGGACTGGTTCTGGCTCATCGGCACGGCTGCAGGGTCTCTCCCGACGTCGGCGGCAGGTAGGCGTTCGTCGGCGAACGGCCAGCGACTGGGCGGAGCGGCGGAGGGCGGCTCCGGCGAGTTTATGGTGGAGTTCCGGAGGAAGAGGTGGCAGTCGAACCAGGAGTCGAGAGACTCCGGCGGAGTGCTCGGCGATGGCTCGTAGGGAGGCGAAGCGAGCCCCTTTCGTCACGACGGCGTGACGGGGTTCCAGCAGAGGCGGTGGCGGTTGCAGCGGCAACCACGACCGTTTCGTCCGGTGACGGCGGCGAACTCCCGGGCGGCAATGAGATGGCCGGCGGCGGCAGTGGTCTCAGGCGGCGGCGGGGCTTCTCGGGCAGCAGCGTCACGAGGAACGAAGTCCTCGAAGGGGGTATCGACGGCCTTCCTCTCCCTCCTTCCCTCCCTATTCTAGGTCACGAGGAAGATAACTCACAACTATAATTTCTCTCAAAAATACAGCGCTACCTTGAGGGGGGGGTCCTACCTCCCCTTATATGGGGCCCACAAGTGGGCTAAGGGGAGGTGGGCCCACTTGAGGCCCTCAAGCCCATAAGCCACAAAAGGCTACAAAAGGGGCTTATTGGGCCTCTTAAAGAGAGACCCAATAAGTTCCCCTAAAAGGAGAAAGTGGAGGGCCCTCTTACGGTGCTTAAGTGGGCCTCAAATGAAGATCCAAATAAGCCCCAAAAGAGGCCCAAAAGGAAAGACACATAGGTCCCCACCCCTTAGGGTTTTAATTGGGCCTCAAAGAGAGACCCAATAAAAACCTAAAGAAAGGGAGACACAAACAACAACACACACACATAGAATTGGGCCTGCTAACACACAAATGCGAGGCCCAACAAGTCAACGTGAAAATACAAAGAAAGATAAGGGTGAGCTCGAGCTCGTCGTCATCGCGGAGGTGGAATGTCGTCATCCTGAAGGGCTAGGCCGTGTAGCAAAAGCCAAGCTCCTTCGTCTTCACACATCGATCGGGCTGAACTCAGACTGTCGGTGTCTCCTAAGCTGATGGAGACGGGTCCCGCTCGCCATCACTAAGTCATGTGAACACTAGACCAAGCATTGCTTAGTATCATGTCAACTAAAGGAGAACATGAAGCTAGATCAAGAAGGACAAGTTTGATTAATTGATGGAAGAAAGATGAGCAAGAAAAAGGAAGTGATGAGTGTGTGCTTGAAAAAAGGATTGGAATATGGACCTAAAAGCTCTTCAATTCTTGATTTTGAGGACGATATTCACATAATTGTCAACACTTAAGGAGATAGTAATCAAAAGAGTCTTCAATTTATTGGGGGATTAACACAATCTTGATATATTGCTAAGGGACTAGCAATGTTTAATTAGGCGGTTGTGATAATTTCTTGAATTATCATGTTAAAAGAGTGATATGATTAATGATTAAAGTCTAAAAAAGATAGGAATTTGATAATTATATATTAACACATATATTTTCACACTCTAGTTTATGAATTATATCATTTTCTTTTTTTCTATAGGAATGTGAGAGTCAAGATAAATGACAAGGGAGACATCAATTTATTATTATGATACAAGAGTATGAGAGGAATTTATAACCATGATGCACAGCCAAGGGAACATAGTTTCTCTCTAATCCTCTCATTTCATCATAGACATTTATACAAGAAGAGGATCAACTGAAAACACCCCTATGTGAGGTTACCATTCTCTCCCCACATCCATCAGAATGAGAGGGAGAAATTATTTTTGTTTTGTTCTTTTGACTTTTATGTAACTGAATCTCTTTTATCCTAGTTAATTTAATTTTAATTTCATGAAACTCTATTTCCCTTTATCTTATCAATTTCAAATAGTCAAAGTCATTGAAGGAAGTGGGAAATCATCCCCACTAGCCATTCGTAATTTTTTTACAAGGTGGCTCGCTGAACCTTAAGAGAAATCTTCCTTTCAACATGCATTGAAATTTTTTATTCATAACTACTGAGTTTCAGAAAGTAAACAAATCAGAATATGATCATTAATTAATATTATATCAATTAATTCAAGACTCTCATTGTGTTCAAATTGATTTTATACTAATTTCTCATGAGATTATTCCTACGAAAATCAGTTTATAAATTTAAACTTGACGATCTTAATAATGGCGACTTAGGAGTGATCAACTATCAATTGAAAATCTTTTTCCCTCAAGTGGGTCGTGGCCAAATTGCCTACTTTCAAAAGGTTGTCTTTTTTTTAACTACTACCTTATGAATATTTTTCATTGGATGATAAAAGCTTTAATATAATTCATGAAATGCTTTAAGCAAGGGTATTTTATAATTAGTTATAATATTTGTCTTTTGAGTTTTTGGTAGGGGGACAAAATTGAAACAAATTATTTTAGTCCTACTACTTTTGGTTATGCAATGAATCAAATTATTAGAGATCTTATTTACAACCTCAAGTTGATCTAAAAGTACTTACTACACATAGTAATGATTTTGGAATTCTTGTCTAACCGGATCTAAGTTCACCAATGGCACAACCCATAAGAAGAAGAAGTTGTCTGCAACTAGCTCACAAATTCATTCAGTCTTCTGTTAGTTGATGTATCCCCATGAGAACATGGGCTCAATGCTCAAGGCTTGGGGGCTTTGACATTCCTACAAAATGCTTAAAAAATGAGAACAAGCTAGTCCCCAATCACACGTGGTTCAACAGCCACTATGGCCGCCGCTCCACTGAAGACAATCCAAGAGAAAAAGGAAAAATAGCTTAAGCCCTTAACTTCCTAAACCCTTGACTCAACATTTTTAACCTTAAATAAGAAATCCCTAAGATCCTAAGCCCTAAACCGTAAGTTTTTATGATTTCAAGCCCTAAATCCTCAAACGCGTAAGTCCTAACCCCTAATGTGATCCAATTAACTACTTTTCACCATCTTCCATCTTACTCCTTTAACTTGATCAGATTGTCGTGATCTAGCACTGATCACTTTTTATCATTTATTTTGTAGCTTTCATCATTTCCTCATAAATTAGTCTATCACTCTACATTTATACTCCTTCCCACTATTACCTGATTTCTTATTGTGATCCAATAGTAGTTATCTCTTCCTTTCTTCTATGCTGAATTCCTCTCAGTGCTCCTTATCTACTCACTCTATTTGTCCCTTATTTTTCTAGTTCTGTCCCTATTGGTCTGTCAATCTACTTTCCCTACATGCTCCATCTCCTCCTTATTACTTGGGTTCTTTAAAGCCTTCAATAATTAGTTCTCTCTCCAACCTACTTTCCTACTCATATGCTTTGTTGCTTGCTTTCTCATTATTTTTCTTCATTTCTTTTCTCCACCTCTTATTCCTATTTCTTTTTCTAAGTTTTCCGTTTTGACCCACCTAGATTTATTTGTCCTCACTCTCTATCTCCTAGCTTTTCAATCCCTTAGCCCAAACCCAAACCCCTTCTACCTCAAATCTCATTGCTACCAACCCCACCCCCGTCACTTTCCCTACCTCTCGCTTAGCGGCAAGTCCCGTCGTTTCCTCAGATGGGCTGCGCCTGTCCAGGCTATGGGCCAATTCTCAATTACGAAAAATCTTTTCTCGCCCTGGTACAATACTCCTAAGATCTATTAGATAATGAGCCATTCATTCATCGCCATCTGGCCCTAAGGTAGGACCCCCCCCCCCCCCCCCCATATCATTTCCTATCCTCCGCTGCCCGTTGACTTTTCATCTGCTATCCATCTGCGCCACCGTCTCTTTGATCTTGAACCTGAACGCTTTGACCAGGTTAATCTTTTTTTGTTCCAATTGGGTGATCGACGAGAGATCTCTTGAAGGTCATTTCTCTTTTTCCCTACGTTCCTTTTCCTCGCGATAGCCGCACCACAGATTAAGGGAGCGAGGGGGAAGAAGGTGAAAAGCCTGCAAGTACAACGGGGTCTATTTCCAGGTGTCTCCCACCTCCGGCGGCTGCTGCCTCCCTCTTACAGGTCTTTCCTCACCCATGGCTCAGCTGCGGGAGGTGGGAGAGATCTAGCGTTGGGCAGCGGTAAGACAATAGCCACAGGCCGCTTCTCATCTAGGTACAGAACCTCCTCGTCCGTCTAAGGTCAGCACTTCCCCCTACGAGCAGTGGAACCTTTCCGAAGGCGTACGTTTTCTTTCTTGCTTAATACCCAAGGCCCCTTATACTGTTGTTGTTGGCTGCCCTGCCTGTTGTTGTTGTCGTCGCTACAAACCCGTCTTTCTCTACAGCATCATCGTGATCTCTTTTCGGGAGATCGGATTGCTTTAAATGACTCGTTTCTTCTTCTCGTCTCATTTCCGAGTAATGAGATTTTTGAGCCTTAACTCGAAAAGATTCGTCCAAGTTTCTGTGCGGCTGTCCTTTACCCTACTACGGAGCGGAACCTGCGCCGTTCTTTGATGTTTCATGCGACATTTCTCTTTGATTGGTTCTTGCAGATGTCGAATGGGAGCCGAACGTATACTGTGGATGAGGTGCTCATGTCTTCTGGGTTTGGCAAATTCCACGTCCTGGTGCTCGCATACGCCGGCATGGGCTGGGTTTCCGAAGCAATGGAGATGATGCTGCTATCTTTTGTTGGCCCATCTGTTCGGTCGGAGTGGCGACTATCCTCACATGAGGAGAGCCTGATCACAAGCGTCGTATTCGTCGGTATGCTGGGTGGAGCATACACATGGGGCGTTATTTCAGACATTCACGGTCGAAGGAAAGTTTCAACCCTTTCTCAAAAAATCCGTAAAATTTTATTTGTATCTTTCTTTAGACCTGGAGGAACTGTGTTATTTGTGCTTCGCAAGAGCAGCCGACTGTGGTTTTTTATTTTTTTCTGCTCAACCGTAACTAAAATGATACCTACGTACCCTAGCATTTTTTTTTCCTTTAATGATACCAAGAGGTTACTGAAAAGCTTTGCTCATATGACTTTGTGCTTGACATGACGTTTACTCGCGGACATCAGTGGGTTGGCTTCAATTCACAGCCAATGCAATCAGAATCTCTTCGTTATCGTTTCTCTGAATTTAACATCTTTTGCTGCAATCGGGAAGGGTGTGCAGATTGTAATCAAGCCTCAAAAACTTGCCCAACACAGCATTTAAGCAAACCGAATGCATGAAAATTGCATCAGAGAAAAATTCCTTCACCAGCTGAACGCAAGGAAAATGCAATCGGCAAAAGTTATCTTACCAGACAGGATCAAAAATGCAATCGGCAGATAGGCCTGGCTATCCATAGTTATCGATCAGTATTTATGAAGTCCGATGACACTTTGTCCAAAGACCCATGGTCTGACATCTTGTAACTTTGCCCAACTGGTCTATAAATCTTCTGTCTATTAATAGTCTTTATTTTGCATGGCAATGCGACCAAATGATTCCATTGATCAGCTTACATTGTGCAGTTGATCATATCCCATTCACAGTTTTCACTTCTCATGGTACGAAAAGAACAAATAAATGTCCAGGGTTCAACTTTAGAGGAGAGCAATGACTGCACGCATGCTTTTTTATTGGCCTCTTCTTTTAGATATAACATTATTTTACTTCTGCCAGCTGGAGAGCGACTCAACAGCTCCTGGTCATCCGTTCTTTTCTGGCAAACAGAAAAATAGTGACGAAACAACCCGTTTTGAAGCAAACAGAATACGAAAAAAATGTACACCTTCTAATATACATGGAAAATAATATGATAAATCGGGGCATAATCCCAGACAAGGATTTTCGTGTGAAGGCTTTGGGATCAGTTTAATCAACTGCACCATTAGGGAGTTCTGTGAGCCCTGTAATATTAGCTGCAGTAGCCCAATCGTCTTAAACTACTCAGCCTCTACTGGAACGACCTGCAACAAGTCCCCCAACTACCACTTGACGTTGTGATAACCATCCCTCATCCGCTGACCTCTTCCAATTCTGAATCTCAGCCATCATGCAGTACTACTTTCTAAAATGTAAATGCCAATAATCCCCAGCAGCCACCAACAATGATCGCCCAGGCCTACAGCTTATAGTCTCCACTGTCCTCCACCAGCAACTGCAATACTGAACCTTGGCTGCATCTAACACTGTTCAGCTGTTGTGTGCCTAAGGAGAACTGCTCTCTATATCGAGTGAGATCTAGAGAACTTGAACCCGCACACAACCTCATATTTCCAATTTGGGACAAGTCTCATACCACAGAAACTTCCCACCCCAAAGTCCTGGGGTTATATACATCTGAGCGACAGAAGAATCACTCTCAAGTATTGTGCAGAGCTGAGAACCGAGTCTTGTGATTTGGGGCTCATCATATTTTGCTCTACATTTATAGTCAGCGCAATGCAACTTCTCTTGCTTTTTATGTTTTACATGCTCTATTAAATATGGCGCATGTGTTTGATCTTGACAAAAATCCATGTGTTTGATAATGCAGGAAAGGGTTCCTCTTTACGGCAATAGTCACCAGTACTGCTGGTTTTCTTAGTGCATTCGCCCCGAATTATTTTTCACTCATTGTTCTCCGCTTTTTGGTTGGTATCGGTTTGGGAGGCGGACCAGTGCTCCTGACATGGTTTCTAGAATTCGTTCCTGCTCCAAGAAGAGGATTTTGGTTGTGCATTTTCTCAGGTTTCTGGACTTTTGGCACAATTTTGGAAGCTTCCATTGCTTGGGTACGTCCACCACCAATCCAGCTTCCCAAAACTTATTCAGTAGGCATTAGCATGTGTTAAAATTCATTTATCTTTTTAGGGGATACGTCATACTTCTTTCTTGTGTCGGGTCTCGTACATGATCATGAGCAGAGGGAGGGGCTTCTTTTATTGGTGGTGATTGCTGTGATCAGGGGTGGGTCACGAAAGCCCCTACATCATTAAATGAATTCCATCATCGAATCTGTTCCCGAAAACTGCACAGTTCCCCTAAATAGGACGGCAAGTCGTCGTCAACGAAGGTTGAAGTCGGTTTTGCCACTTTGATGACAAAGCACTATTTCATTGCCTAGTGATGGTGGACACGTGAATGGCCTGGGTTGGTACGTATGTGATGATATATGTAAAAGAATCAGATTATCCCACGTAAATACGATTGCCAGTCGCCCAAGTATTTTTAAACATATGTTTAACTTCTCATATTTGATGCAAGATATCATGGTATGTCCTCTCACGAGTGGACTTCCTTCTAATAGCTCTATCACATGGACAATACAAACTTTACAGGCAACAAAAGATGGAACCCTGGTGTTTTGGTAACATGTGAAGTAATTTGTTTGTTCCACTCGGAATCAATGAGCATTGAGTGGAGCCTTATATTTTAAAACACATGTTTTCCTTCTCTTATTCAGTGTGGGATGTTCTGCTGGCAACTTATATGACGATCCATTGACGAAACTAAGATCATGGGTATGCACACCAATGGAAAGGACGAAGCCATTTGTTGGCTTTAAAAAATGAGAATTTCCTTGTGTCCTACTTGGGCACTCTTATATAAGAAGTTACTCATCTAGATGACAGTTGATAGTAGCCAGTTGACAAATTCAGTTCCAAACTTGTGGACAAGGAAATCCAGGCTAGTCAGCTTTTATTTAAGTATGTACCTCGTTGACTTGCACTCGGAGCTGTGTCAACTCATGATATCCTTAATGTGCATATCGATAAGAAAACCATTTCTTGGTCTGAGAGCAGGGTAGGTACAAAGGTAATAGCACATTAGAGATGTAGGGATTAGAAACTGGGGAAACTATATATCAATGAGTAGAATGGAGAAGAATGTGAAAATTTACTCCCGACATTGATTTTGCCAAGTCTAAAACGCTATTTAGTTCTGGAACTATGATTGGGTCCCATATTAGGTAGGAGTGATCTTCACAGTCGTTTTTGGACTTGTAAGGCATGACCTTCATGGTCTCTCCTTTGGAACCCTAACCATGCTAAACCGTCGTTGTTGCCTTGGTCATGTCATTGGAAACTTCTTGAAATGAAACTTAGCATTATTGATCTGTTGTTATTACTGCAACTTTTAAAAGTGAACTGGGGTCATCGAATGACATCCAGAACTAAGGATATCGGTGAGCATCTCAACAATAACTTATAGAAAACAGGTTTAAACCTATATCTTAAATTGCAATATGCTCAACAAGATAATGTCCACTCGATCATATAAATTATGGCTGGACTATGATTTTCTCGTCTTCAGGACCCCGACACCCTCATGAAGGCACTAATATAAGGTTTGTAGAAAGATTGCTTGAAATAGTCTAAAGTTAGTTCCAGGGACTGGTATGTCAAATACAATGATAAAGGAGCTAATACTGGTCAATGAGGATCACATGATTTTCATTTCATATTTGTCTCTTAACATCACAACTGGCGTTTTCTCTAGATTTTTCATGATGTGAATGTCTGTTCAACCCGTAACCTATATTACAAGCTTTTTATCTCTGTTTCTGTTGCCTTCTTCATTTGGCTCCTGGAGGCTTTGACCAGACAAAACACTAATCAGTGTCTGTAAACTCGTTTCCGTCGAAGTTCTAGTATTCTAGACATACGCAGCTGTGTGTATCAATGTTGATGCAGTTCAGTGTCTATGTAGGCTGTTATCCCAACGTTGGGCTGGAGGTGGCTACTTGCACTTTCCGCTGTACCCTCTTTTTTCTTGCTTCTGTTCTATGGAGTCACACCGGAGTCACCTAGGTATCTATGCATGAAAGGGAGAAATTCCGATGCACTTCATGTTCTGGAAAGGATGGGTAGAATGAACCGGACAGTAATGCCTCTTGGCAAGCTTGTCTCACATCATAGAAAGGAGGGTCATAAAATGGAACATGAAGACAGTGATGCAGAAGCAATGCCTCTTAGTATGCTCGATTCCTATCCGCAGATGGAACAGGAAGAAGATACTCGTCGGCTGGTGGTGCCCGAGCCAGAAGATGAAGCCCCGTCTGTTGGAAAAGCAGTAGAATCCAAAACGGGAGGAACAAGCGCACTTGTCATTCTCTTGTCACGAAATATGATTAAAACCACCCTCCTCCTTTGGGTCGTATTCTTTGGCAACGCATTCCTTTACTACGGGATCGTCTTGCTGACCACAGAATTAAGTGGTGGAAATATAAAATGCAAGTCAACGAAGGGAGGGAGCCCTGCAGGTGTTACCCTTTATAAGGATGTTTTCGTCGCCAGTTTTGCAGGTACGAGTGACGGCTCCACAGTTTCCTTGTGTTCTTTTTTTTTTTCTTGTTGCATCATTGGTGGAGATACGCGTTTCGTCCTGAATTCTGCGGACGATGTATTTGTCTTTGGACGAGGATCAATCGCCCTGAAGTGACCGGAAATTTCATTTCAGAGATCCCTGGGATCATCATATCCGCCGTCGTAGTGGACAAAGTGGGCCGCAAGCTGTCAATGGCGGGCATGTTCTATGCCAGTTGCATATTCATCTGTCCACTAATACTTGATACGAGCCAAGGGTTTATCACAGGGTTTCTCTTTGGTGCCCGCATATGCATTGCCACAAGCTTCACCATTATCTACATATATGCTCCCGAGGTTGGTGTTCCCTTTCTCCTCTCTCTAGCTATTCATTTTGTGCAAGCCTGCATGGATCACGGGTCAGCTGCAGGTATCAGCCGGCAAGCGCATTCTGACGACGTGCGTCTCTGCTTTTCTGCTCTGAACTCAGGTATATCCTACCTCAGTGAGGACGACCGGGCTCGGAATTGCGAGCTCCGTGGGGAGAGTGGGCGGCATCACATGTCCCCTGGTGGCGGTGGGATTAGTGGCAGACTGCCACCGGACTATCGCCATCCTTATCTTCGCATCGGTCGCGCTGCTCTCGGGAACGGCTGTGCTCATGTTCCCCCTCGAGACCAAGGACCGAGACCTTGACGACACGGAACCTCGGTAGGTCAGTGTGCTTGTTGTATACATGCGTACATACATTTATCTCAAAATCTATACACAGTGAGTGTGTTGCCGGCGGTTCGTCACCAACTGAGCTGCGACCCGCGCGACGACGTCAATGGCGCACGGTCGTCGTGTATGCTGGCGATGAGTGTAATATTATTTAGGCCCTCGCCTTACGGAGGAGGGGTTGACTTCTAATAAAGGCCATGCGCTTTATCATTCTTCATTTCACTGATCCTTTCCCAACTATGCTCTGATGATCTCATTTGAATTGTGTTTAGTCTTAGCCAGTGGAAATAAACAAGTTCTGGCGATCTGCCGCGAGAACAGAGCGACTGCCCGGAAAGCGGAAGGGCATACGTACCACGAAAGTGTGTATAAACAAACGGTAACATATAATGCGGGATGCCGCAATGTTCTGCCCCGCCGGCGGGACATTGAATACCATCAAGACCCGAAGTTGATGTATCGAAGAGGTGGGCACTAATTACACGGGAAGTGAGATAACGAAAGAGGCCGTGGGCAGGAGATGCAATCTCGATTGAGGACGAGCAGGGACAAACGCGGGCCGCCCCCGTCGTACGGGGCACGGGCATTCGTCACGCCCTGGGATGAGGGTGGCCTGCTCCGTCGGCGTTGTAGTCAGTGACGAGGACCTGGCCGTAGTCACCCTTGGTATCCTCCTCATCATCCAAGTAGTCGGCTCTGGCATTTAGGGTCAGCATTTGACAGATCAGCCAGAAGAGAGCTGCATCGAGAGCCAAAAACCCGGCGCCGCCAAAGACCCCCGTCTTCGCTGTGGGGCAATCGTACTCCAGGTTGTGGTGGACATTCCGGCTGCGGTGGAAGCCTTCAGTGATGGTAGCCCACATCATCATTCCCTCTGCGAGCACGGTCACCCCCCTGTTTTTACAGGCATTTTCCGAGCTTTAGATAGATGCGCCGTGATCAAGCCTCAAAAGCAATATAAATTAGCAGGCAGTGCGCGAATGCGAGGGGCTGACCCACCACTCAGTCCAGACGTACACAGGTCTACCGGATGGGGACTAAATAAAAATTTCTTAGAAAAGACAAGATGATGGATATGATCTCTTACACTGCAATTGTGAAGAACACGAGCAATGTTGTGCTGCGGAACAATACTTCAGTCGGAACTGATTTACCTTTGTATGGATAGAACACTGAGACGAACCCGAGCAACATTGATATGAACAGAGATATGATGGATAAGCTTCCCAATAAAACAGTTTGATCACTTGGGTACTGGCAGATGATCACTCCTTTCCCTTGTATTGGTGTACCAGACGGAGGCTATAAGAGCAGATGATATGAAGTTTGTCAGAAAATATGCACAGACAAAACTAAATATGCAAAAGGAAAGAAACCGATAGAAGCTCCGATTCATAATTAAATATGATTCTCTGTACGAAGACTAAATTGAAATCTAAAAACTTAAACTTGATTCCCAGAAAAAGAGAGCTATCAGAAAAAACAGAAGCACTCGTGAATTTTTGGGAGCATATGAGCATTTCACGTACAAGAAGCACGGAGGTTAAATCTTTGATTTAGAAGAGGCCAGAAATCAAAACTGAAAGGAAGGTGATACAAATTATATGCAGAACAAAGCTTATGTTCACAAAGCCTATGCTGCAGGAAAACGTACAAGAGAACGGGAAAGATCTTAACAAGAGACGAGTGTAGCAGAAACAGAAAGAAGAAAAGAGTATACAGTATGATGACCGGACATACCCATGAAAATACAGGAGAGGAGAAGTGCATACCAAGTATCATGACAGAACTTCATTCAAAAACACACGGGGGAAAAGATTGCGCCATAGTTTTATCAAAGCACACTGAGAACGGTGAGAAAATAACCTTTTTGTTTTCAGCTACCACCCCAAGCACAAAGGCAAGGACACCAAAAAAGGAAACAGCTAGAGCAATCTTCACGGTCTGACTCAAAGCCATTGAGCAGAAATCAGTAGAACCCCCGCACAAGCCACGCTGGAATCAATCAAGAAATAACAGGAAAAATATTAGAAGAAGAATTTACAAAAAATGCAGAGAAGAAGATTAAAAACAAAAAAGACCATTTAGCTCCAGTTATCGTATGATCATAATCTTCTTGACAACTAGATGAGTAGCAATTCTTCTACCCTATAGACTAGAAGCGTGAGAAGTTTACTTTTACTCAACGTTACCAACTCTTAAGCTATATTAACCGAGAATTAGAATTGATTAAAAAATAAATCCACATGGAAAGTGCCATGATCTGAAAATAGAGGAACGGACACTTTAGACACTCCGAATTAACTCGAGGCAGAACTCTACAAAACCTAGCGTCAAAACCAAAACAAACAAATTGCTGATTCAGCAACTAAAAATAACACGCTGAAAGAGTGAGAATGATGCAAATTTAGTCATAAAATCAGGGGAAAAAACCCAAAGAAGAACATTAGTTTGGATATTTTATCCAATCTCACTTAATAAAAGGAAAGGAATATGAAACACCTCCAAACATCGGTAACATTTGATGTGGAACGGGAACGATGTTTAAGGACAAGGCACTCGTACCCGCCAACAAAGAAAAAGGAACAACGGTGATGAGATACATAATTTCATCAGAGGAAAGTAGAAACAAGCCCGATCACGTTACCCTCAGAGCTCAAGCATGTACTCAATGGAACAAGGGAAGGTGGGATAATGGTTCGCCTCAGGTCGATCACGTCATTCGATGACAAGAAACAAATTGCGAGAAGCACAGAAAGTTTTCGAAACGCCTCGATTCAAGAGAAGCCATACCGGAAGAGCCGGATCTCTAAGGAAAAACATTTCAAGGGAAGGAAAAAAGAAGAATATCGAAAAGCGACCTGTTCAATTAAAGGATCGAAGTCGATGCATCCCAGCCCTAGACCGATGCAGAAGGGAGGGAGGGAGGGAGGGAGAGAGGGAGGGAGGGAGACAGAGAGAGAGAGAGAGAGGAGGCAAGCCCTGAAAACGGGAAGTAAGAGCTGCAGGGGGATGTATACCGCGGAAACGTGTGCCGCGGTTGCGGAACAGGGCGATGGCAACCCTGTTCGGGAGGAGACTCCACCTCGGCGACGTTGCTCTTCCGCAGTGAGATTTTCCCGTATGTGGGGGGAGCGAGCGGAACAGAATTGGTTATAGGCAGAGGGATCGAAGCGAACAGAATCCGATGGCAAAATCGTGAAGAGAAACCGAAAAGAGACGGAAATGAGGAAACGGCATCACGGGGGACACGCGAGGCCAACTCAGATCTGCTGCCATTTCCCCAGCGGAAACGGCGGAGTCAAAGCGTCATCGTTCGCATTATTGTGATCTGCATTTCCGAGGAGCGCGGGCTTTGGATTGGCCGGTTTTTCTCCAGGTCATCGCGGAAAGCTTTCCGGGCGGCTGGGATCGTCGCATTCCCGCTATTAATAATCGAGAAGAGGCGAGGGTCAAGACGGGTATCTCGGCCCACAACTTGCGCGAGTACGCCAACAGTCTTTCTTAGAACGAGCGAGGAGTTTCTTACGGCGCGCCGGTGATCATCGCGCATCCTCCCCCTTACGATCGCCCCATCCATCGCTGCCGGGCTAAACGTGCGCAAGACTCGTCGTCGCTGACGTCGAACAGTGGAGAGTGAGAGCTGTTAGGGGAAAATCCCGAGTCTCCGCGCAGCCCCCATCATCCTCTTGATGCCGAATAAGGATGGCAGCCTGCGGAGAGAATTCACATCAATAGAGGCGCCATCAAGAAGAGAATGTAGTATTTTTTTCCCATCCCCCACGTCGAAGGAAAACTTGTGTTAGAACTTCCACGAAGGGATAGGCGTGGACAAGAAGGGATTTAATTTGATCCTCTTCCCACTATATGCACATCACATCATAGACTATGAGTTCAAACTTAGTAGCCTCGACCTCCCAAATAATCTCACAAACCTTTATGGACGAAATATCAAGCCAGACCTAGTCTTGTGAGGAAAGAATTTCAACTAGAACCTGACACCTACGAAAAGCTGGGCATGGGAGACACATTCTCAAGACTTATTAAAATGTTTACAATGAACCATAGCAATTTAATCCTATATGTGAGAAGGTGGAGGCGTAAATGACAACGAAAAGAAAATTAGATGCCGTCTCCCCCCTGCACCCAGCCTTTGAGACTTGTCATAAAATTAATCTCATCTTCAGATGCCATGTTCTCAACATCTAATTACTTCACACACTCCGAAAGGACCTGTGTGTTGCAACAAACAGAACACCTCATGCACCATCCACCTGCCCTTTGCTGAAAGTAACTTCTTGATGCATTATGTACCAAGCCTAGTCCTCCATTGGTGACCACCACAACTTCGCATCACTAGAAAGTCGCATGCTTGCTAGCATTACCTTCTCTAGTTCTGGGTTGTGTACTACCCAAAAATATGAGTTGAGGTCTTATAGCAAGTTCTCTCCATGCAATCTGTACACTAGAGTGTCTTGTATTTAGGAACCTTCTCCTACGTTGCAATACCTTCCGCCAGTGTACTTGATAATAAGTGCTTTAGAAGCATAATGTCAACCTCATTTTCCCATGAGACATTGATGCAGTCGAGTATCTCGCATGCCACTTATAAAGGTTTCCAAATGCTCTTTTAAAGCCTAGAAATGGGTCTTTGCAACCTCTATTGAGGCGGCCTCCTCAAATTGAGTAATTCTTTACTCTTACTTCCCACTCTTGCTTGACATCCATGTGGGACTTTAATTTCAATTGTCACAAGGGCCAGTCAAAGCCTATTCACTTTTCCTCTCCAATGCCGGCCTTGACTGACGGTCGACCAACATCAAGCAGCCAAATCAATGTGCAGAGCACGGAATGAATCGACAGATGCGTCCTCTTATCTCCTTCAGAATAATACATTACAAGAACCTCCCTCTATAGTCCAAGGGTGCCTCCCTTTATCGGGGGTTGCCTTCACGTTACACAGCCCTCATAATTATCCCTACAACAACCCACAGTAGGTAGGGGTTAGCACTACTCACATCGTTGGTTGGTGTAACACAATGACTCAACTTATAATATTCATATGGTCCCTTATATGTTAACATATAGTGAAATCATGTCATAGGGCCTCTTCTACTTAGGGATGATGTCATTATATATTGAAATATTAAAGCTTCATATGGTCTAACGCTGTTAATTTGTCATATTCTAACATATTAAGCTTGGCCTATGCGCTAGGACAGAATTGGCCGTATTTTTAAAATTGCACGAGCGGTTGACGCTCGAGAGGTCGGTGTCACGGGAGGGAATGAGCGTCGCAGTCTGCCAGGGGCTGATCAGGCGTGGATCACGGGCCACCACTTGGTGGAGTAGTGGTGAGTTCTTCCCATCCTGGCGAGTGCCACCTTCGTCGACTGGCAGGCTGGTTGAGGAGGATGTCCGCTGGCCGACACACAGATGTGTGCCCTTTTGCTGGGGCTATTCGCTCACCATCCCACCACGTAGAGGTCGTCCTTTCTCACTTCGCACGGAAAATTCTCTCTCATGGCGCGAGATACAGATCTCCTGATCAGATTTCTGACTAAATTGATGTCAATCGTCTTTAGTTATTGGACAATACTGAACAGTGCCTTGCAAGGGCACGACGGCTACATCTGTGTTCGAGTCTATCCACTAATACGGTACCCTTATTCAATTCTGCAACCTCAGCTTCATTGGGTTCTTCCCCGGTCGCTTCGAAGAAAAGTCCCCCAGGTGTATTCATTCCTTCTTCACCTGCGTCGACGTTATTTCCTGTTAGTTTTAGCCCTTAAACCAAGGGCTCCGGCGTGGGTTGCCCAGGCCGCGGAGCGCCCGCCACACGACGCTGCCGCACTTGAAACCGGAGCCGAACGATAGTTGCAGCACTCTGTCTCCCCTAGCCACTCGACCCTGCGCCTCCAGGTACGCAAGCTCGTACCACACGCTGCTGCTCGACGTGTTCCCGAACCTCTCTAGCGTTCTCCTCGACGCCTCCATGTACTCCTCCGACAGGCCTAGCTCCCTCTGCACCTCGTCCAGGACCCGCTTCCCCGCCGCTAGGACGCATACATGGTCGAACGCCCTCTCTAAGTCAGCCACGTATTTGCAGTTACCGTCGCTGCCGCGGTTCTCCTCCGACACTGATTCTTGCTTCCTGTTACTATTGCTCTTGTTCCTCGCCAGGGGCAACCACGGCAGCAGGCATTTGAAGCTGATTCGCTCCGATATCGGCGGTACCAAGGCGTTAATGTTGGCCCTGAGTGCCTCGCCGCCCACGTCCAGCAGGTCCCTCCCCACGGACAGCCCCTGCCGCCCCTCGCTGTCCTCTTTCATGCGCACGGACTTGAAGCTACGGTCGTCGGCGCCATAGTGGGTGCGCACAACCTGTTCCAGTTAAATACCCACTGTTAGCCATCCGGCCGTCTCCATCTGCGCCGAGTTTCACAGCTTTCCCTTGGTGACCGGGGAGGAAAGGAAGTGCTCCAAAATAAGTGTACCTGCTTCAGCTCGTACTTTGAGCGCCACCTGTCGAGGCGGCGGCTGGAGAGAAGCACAGCGGCGGCGCCCATTCGGAAGAAGCAGTTGGGTAGGAGCATATCGAGGTCGTTTCCCCGGTACCACGTCGCGGACACGATCTCGGTGCTGACGACGAGTCCGAGGGAGCCGGAGTGAGCGCCCAGCAAGTCCCTCGCCAGGCCCACCGCGGCCACCCCACCGGCGCAGCCCATCCCACCGAGGTTGAAGCTGTGGACGTCCTGCCGCAGCTTGTAACGGTTGATGAGCATCGCCGAGAGAGATGGAGTCGTATTGAGGACCCCGCAGTTAACCACAAGAACCTTGATATCCCTTGGCCGGATGCCCGTTGACGCGATCAGGTCGTCTACGGCACCGAACATGACCAGTGCGGCCTCTGCTCGACCCTCGCGAAGAAGGGTGGCCTTCGCCGACCGGAGAGAGGACCTACACACGCCGTCGGCGGCCTCGAAAGGACAGAGAGGCGCCGCACGCGGCCACTGCGCTGAAAGGTTGACCTTCTCGGCTGGCCGAAACAACGACCTGGGCATATAGGACTCGTCGCCGATTCCCGAGTTCTCGACCACCCGCTTAAGGAACTCGATGGCAGCGACGTCGTAGTTGCCTGATTCCTTCACCAGCTCGACGAATTCAGCCCTCCCTATCTGTGCCCACCATCCCCACACAAGAATAAGGATCATATATCAAATTTGAGCCCATTTGTACCTGCATCACAATAAGATCCACCGAGGTGACACCTGGAGGTCCTTTGGCGGCCTGTAACATGCGAAGTCAATGAGGTACGTTGAAGACGGCGCCAACTCGAGGTGTAGCAAGACGACGACGACGAACGACAGCACAACGAGTGCCACTCCGCCGGTCACGCCGTAGGTCCACGATGAACGTTTTGGGACATCATGTCCGGACATGGCGACGAGGATTGTGGCTACGAGGAGGTAGAACTCACGGCGGGTGAGGTAGCGGTAGCCCAGGTTGACGTACTCGAGGTTGACTGAGCTGAGGAAGTCGGACATGCGACGGCGGACCCTGACGGAGAAACTTGGCGACTCTGCGTAGGCGCCGTAGCCGGTAAGCCCTCGATCCAACATCTCGGTCGACAGCGTGGTCTCTTCCTGGGCGGCCATGGTAAGGAGTAGATGAGAGGTCAGGGCCCTAGGAGAGCATTATGTATGGAGAAGGGCGGAGCGACAGATATGGAGAAGGGCGGACGAGGAAGAAGGTGACATTTTCGCGAGTCCCAGAAATGAGGAACGGATTCTGCGTGGGGGGAGCCAGTGGCGTTTGCGTCCCCGACCATTCTGGCGTAGCACAGTCAGTCATCGGCCCTTTCTAGACAACGCGATCCACGGGGGGAGTCACTTCGAAACAAGCGGATGCCTTCTTCATCTTCAGATGATTAGGCGTCTCCAGCTTCCCTCTTAGTTGAGTGACAATCAACCTCGTAACCGCGACGGCCATCGGCCCTTTCTAGGTGACAAGGTATCACGCGGATCTTAACGTTCCTCAGGAGCGCGAGCAGAGGGGAGCTGCGATCTCCGAGGCGTGCACGCGGGCCCTCTCCGACCGTGGAATAGGAGGAGAACGGGGGGGAACGAGTTCCTTCACTCAGAGTAGACGAGGGACGGCAATCCCGGGCGGTTCGCTCGTCATGGGGCCGGTGCGGCGGGGCTGCCAGGCCGCAACTTGTTGCCTCTCATTCCAACCACAATTAGCAACGCCGACGGGACACAATGTACCGCTACTGCTCTCTCTCTCTTTAACGGGCCAGTGGCGACTGGCTGCCCATCCAATGTCCTGTCTGGTGGTTGTGGAAGAGGCAAACGAGTCCGCCGCTGGAGGGGACGAAACGTCATGGAGGGAGCGAGGAGAGGTAGAGGAAAATTCGGAGAACCGGGGACCGCTGGCAATGGCAGAGGGAACGGAGGAACACAAGTGTGAGGACCGGGCCCTTCTTCCGATGGCTTGCCAGCGAGAGCGGAAGGAGGAAAGGAAATGGGTAGAGGGTGGCATGTTGATCTCTATCTATCACAGAGGATCCCTTTGCTTCGCTCCCCGGGTTTCCTATGTTGAAGGATCCGTGCAGCAGTGTTTCAGGGTTCAGCAGTGTTTCTTCATCTTTGCGGGGGACAGACACGCGTGATCCATTCGCACGTGTTACTGGGGCCGCGCCGAAATAGAGCTCTCTCTCTCTCTCTCTCTCTCTCGCTATTCCTCTGTAACCGAACCGAGATTGCGCGGGACGGCGAGCGGGGCCGACGATGGGAGAACAGGAGGCAACAGACGACGCTGCGGCGGCCGCCTTGATCGCGTCGTCGTCGTCGAGGTCGTTCCGGATGAATAGACGGTCACCAGAAGGCAAGAGGCTCAAGGCCGCCGTGTCGCGGAAGCTCGTCGACTTCCTCGCCAACTACACGGACGACGTCCTCGCTGTGCACCCTCTCTCTCCTTTCCTTTCTGCTTCATTTTCTCGCTTCTCTCCTCATTCTCGTCCCGCTCATGTCGTTCGTTATTCCGGCGAAGTTCTTTGCCCCGTACGCCGCGTCTCCCGTTCTATTTTTCTGCTCATCTCGGGCATCCTCTAGGGTATCGCATTTCTTTTCTATTACTCTGTAGCTTCTCCACTTCGTCTCGGTCCCCTTCCGATGCAATGCCTTACGCGGGGAGAATGGCCCTGGCGTACTTGACTGGCACAGACTTTGGTCTCGGTGTACGTCTCACAATTCCGCTGCGGTACGGTGGACTGTTGACCTGGGGAAGCCTTCTTCATTCTCACTGTTTCCTCTGCGTTGTATCCTCTTTCTCGAGTTGGCGTTAACTTCTTGAATTTCTGCGACGCTCTTCTTTAGGTTCCACTACTTTGATCTTCTCCACGGCAACATATCCTTAACCTCGCTAGATTTATACATTACTTAGTCCTACTGTTTGCGATGAGCCCTGTCGAGGTATGACGTCATATCCCATATTCTATAACTCACCGTTTTCCGAAAGTGTGAACCTGGCCGTCGTATGGTTCTCAGCGAAATTATGTTGCATCTCAGGTGTAAGGATCGAAATATATTTTTTTTTGCACGTTCTGCATTCACTAACTGTCATTGATTCTACCTGTGTACTTCGTGTAGCAATGATATCACTTTATTTCCTTTTTTCCAGGAGTATATTGTCGTCCTTGTTTGCAACGGTAAGCGTCAGAATCAAGTGAGAGATGATCTAGAGGCATTTCTTGGCGATGACAGCGAAACATTTGTGGCATGGTATCTATCCTTCATGCTATTGGATCGTTGTTTTCTTTTGTTTTCTGTGACATTTTCAAGTTGGAAGTACATTTTCTTTATTTAATAGGCAATGGGCAGGACGTCAATCTTTCATATGATCCCCTTTCAATCTTTCAATTAACATTTGTTTGAAATTTTTCCAGTTCTCCTTCTCTCTTATTTGGAAAATTTGTCTCGTTTTGGTAGTCAATGCGTCTCTATTATGCTGAGTCCTCTTCACTTGAAGCTGCCCCTATCCTTTGTCTGTGAAATATATGCTACCTTGATGATACAAAATAATCTTCATTAATGCCCGATACCCTTTCCAGTTTACAGGGGAGACGCTGTTATTTCCATACGTCTAACTTATGCTAGAAAACTACATTTTTAATGATGTTTTCTGTAAAGTGAGCATTGTATTATCCTTTTCTACCTGGTCATCTTGGACAATGAAGGTTTACATGGTATGAAATTCGTCTATTGCAGGCTTTGGCATTATCTTTCTAAAGAATCTTCGTTTCATGTGGTTTCTGGCATATCAAGCCAGAAATACGATGCAATGCCACCCTCCGCTGAGCAAATTGGCAAGGAGCAAAAAAGTGGACCCACGACAGAATCGCAGATGCTGTCATCTGTGGCCGCCGATATCCCTTTGGTGAGAGTCCCTCCTTTCTGTATTTGGAACATGTTCTGGGTAATCAATCGTCTCGAGTTTTTAATGCATTCTCAGTGATGTGATAGAGTATTTCTTGTTTGTCTTCTCTTGGCAGTTCAAAGATGGAAAAGATGGATGTTCTGATAGTTCTTCTGTCCCATACTCTTCATTTGGCCTTGAAGTTTCACGAGAGATCTCAAGGATTGATGAGGGATTAGCTGTTCAAAATCATGAGTTGCAAGGACACAAGTACAGAACTAACAGATCTGATGAGTCAAACAATGGAATGAATAATGATTCCATGGCATTTAAGATTTCTTCAACGCATTCTTCTGAAGCTTCGGTGGGTTGTGAAAAGTCCCCGCAGTTTGACAGTTCCTATCAGAAGGTTGAGAGACTATGCGTTCTGTGCTAGTTTCACAATTATTTTATGACATGTCTAACTTCATTCATCCTATGCCATAGAACAGGCAAGTGTTGGTATGTCTATTGACATACCAATTGAAACACCACAGCAGGAGCCAAATAGGAGAAACTTGATGTCAGTTATTGCAGGTGTGGTATATTTTTCCTCAATATCTGCTAAGGGACTGTATGTGGAGACAAATGTGCTTTCTGAATCTATTTTATTGGATTTTAATTTTTACTAATAAAAAAATAAGCACATCGTTTATAGAACTTATGGCTGTGCAGAACATTCTCGTTTGAACCATCAGTCTTTGCCAAAAACTACCGGTGGAAGATTGTCACCTGAAGCCAGATCTTCTGTGTTGTGCCAGAGTATTCATCGGCGTGCCAGTGTTTGGGACAGACTGGGGAAACCACATGAAGATAGTAATACCTTGATGGACGTAAAAAAGAATCAGGATAACGTTGATTTAAGCAAGAGATGTAAATCGGATCATCGTAATGAAGGGTTTGATAAGTTTAGGTTCACTCATTCAATGAGTGCTGCACTAGGGAAAAGGGAAGTTCAAGATACCGAGCCACTCGAGAATTTTCATGGCTCATTCATATCAAACAATGCGGTTGTTGTGCATACAGAGGTTGGCTGCAAAACAGACATGAATGTCATTGACCGTGATACAGGTTTCGTCAAGAAAAGGCCAATTTTGCGTGACAAAGGCCACATTAGTGATATGGCATCATCATTTGCATGCATTAATGATGGTCTTGAAGATAAAGGATCATACAATAAGTTGCCAAGTCCGTCCTCTGCTGGGAGGATAAGTAAAGAAAGCTTGAAGCAGGTTAATGCTGAAAATAGCCTGCCTTCTGAGGCAGCACATTCTTATTTGAAATCTTTCAAAACCTTCCGTGATTTGAGGCCTTACAAAATTTCTCATCTGCAGGCAGGGATGAACTTGTCGACCCCCCCTAACCAGAATTCTGGTTCATTTGACAAATCAAAACAGTTAAAGCCAAAATTGCTCCGTAATCCAGAACATGCAGCAGCTGGTGACAATCCCATGGAAGATGTATGCTATCTTTTTGTTAGTATTCCCTTGTATTGTCACAAGGGTACTGTGGCTATTAAAAAATAGTAATTCCTTCTGATTTCTTAAAATGCTCAATTCTCATTTCGTATAAACACAATTTTCATGCAGGAAGTGCTTGATGTGATGAAAAGATTGTGTCAAATTGAAAGGGAGATGCTTGAGATCCGGTCAAAGCAGACTAAGATGAATGCTGACGCAAAAGTCCTTGCATCTCAAGGCCCAAGTAAGAACCAGTTTCAAAAGTTTTTCGTCAATTTGGAGCATTATCCCCCGAACAATTCGGATTATTTTCAACTTTATCTTTACAGCTTTCAATCTTGTCTATCCAAGTGATCCTTTGGAAGAATATAGACCAGACAACCAAGGTATCGAGGTCTTCCTGGCCAATTGTCTACTATATAGCTTGCCGGCCTGTGCCATGTGGTTTCTAACACTTTCATTTTGCCTGCTTTCTCTGTTGCAAAAGTCAATCCTAGTGTGACCGGTAGCTGCCATGATTTGTTTGGTGGAAATGCATATCACCTAATGTCAGACCAATGTATAACCTAAAGGAGGAGAGCTGGCCAGTTGCCTATGGGTTTCAATTCTTCTTTTTTTGCATTATTTATTTTATATCATTATTCTGTTTTTTATTTTTTACTACAACATGACGACTAAATTTTCCACCTTCACCAGATTTTTTTATTGAATTAGTAGGTCAATAAGATAGAAGTTTTATTATATTATTTTTTTATTTACGAATGCAATATATATGTGCTGACTTTTGTTCGTTCGACATAATTATTATTTTTATCTTCTACAAGTTTATTTATATATTATATTTCATGTTATGATATTCCTTACGATATACAATGAAATTTTAAATTTTTTTCCATAACTTAGCGAGAATCATTTGAGTAACTTGTCGAGATTATTTAATGCATACATTATGTTGGATGGTATTATTATTATCTTTATAGTTAGGACTTTGCCTTATTTGTCACTTATTTGATCATTAATTAATATTTTAATTATAAATTTTAAATTATTCAAAATTAGGCTTTACATAGTATCTTCCCTCATTGCGTAGGAAGTAAGGCAATAACCTTCCTCCTTGCTTAGCTTAATTGCCTTTAAAGCCTTGCTTTCAATCTGATGAAGTGCATACATTGTTTGAGGTGAACGTTCAAGTGACACTTTTCATTAAAATCCCAACTTGGCAAGAAGTGAATGTTATCAAAATCACATTTTTTAATTATTTTCTGTATTCTCTCTTTTTTATGTGGGTAGTACTGGATGATGATCAAAAAAATTCCTGTGGCTTTAGGCCATACTAGTGGCACGATATTCCTCAAAAATAAGTTATTCATCCTATCTTTACACAACCATTCCATTCCTTCGTTTATCCCGTCCTGTACTAACGTAACCAAGCCCTAATACTTGAGGTTTCCGATTGTTATTGGCATGGGCTTGGGTATCAATCATGGACTCATGTAAATTATCATATATTTATATAGTTGGCATGCGTTTATCCATGTCTAAAATATTGTTTAAGATTGGTGTAGACCGAGGGTGTGAATGATAACAGATGTCTAACATAGTGCGAAAGTAGTTATTCTTCCTATTCTCGGAATAAATAGGCACGTTATATCCAGAAAGCTTACATTCGTACAGCTTTTATTCGAGCTATGAACTTACGAATTGTGAGCTGGATGGGGTTTTGACTGAGACCAGCCTTGGGGATAATAGCGAACTGGTCATGTCACATCACTCTTCTTCTTGAATTATTATTTTTAGTTCCTTTCTTCTTCTGCTCTTTTGCTTTTCTTCCTCTCCACATCTACTTTTTGTTTCATTGACTCGAATTTCCATGTCAAAAGGTCGGAAATTCTCTTGAAGTGTTGGACTAAATTAAACCCTGACACTTACTCGACTCATGATCATATGCTGCCATAACAGGAGTGGACTCATAAAATTTGAATTAGCTTGATTTTTGGGTTCCCTTTGTCAGACGTCAACTTGAAGTCTGGATGATGCTAGCTTGCTACCTATACATATTTTTTCAACGTATGAGCTTTTGTTCATAGTGGATTCTGGAGTCCTGCATGCAGATGGCCTCTAGTGATCGTATTCAAAAAATAAATATAAAATATTAATACTACAATGCTTTCTTCCTTTGGTGCACAAACCATGCCAAAATTGTGCTGCTACTAATTCTTAGGAATGAGATGTACTTAATTCTCCCCCATCATGGTGGCGTAGGCCCAGGGTGAAACCCCTCTGGTGGCTGATCCAAGCCTATGGTGGCATAGTGCAACGTTGAAATCCCATCGGAGACTTAGCCCAAGGATGAAAACCCATCAATTGCATACCGCAAGTATTAAGTGTATTACTTTGGTAGATTTATGCATTAATTGTGCATTTGGTCTTACACTATTAAAGACGTCCTTATATTCCCGATTGTTTATTTATACTTTCTCTGTGTATTCAGGTCTGAGGAGTTTTCTTGAGGAAGATGTCGATGCTCGAACTGTTTTTGTGGCAAATGTAAGCAGAGCGCAGTGCATACATGAAACCTTCCGTTTTAAAATTTTCGAAAGAAAGCAGTGTTCTCCTTCTCATTTTTTAGCAACATAAATTAGACCAAATTAGAGGGATCATTGATTAGGCATCTACCTATTTGCATAGAAGATAGTGCGAACAATAACATTCTGTCTTATGCTACATTTTCTTATTATTACTTTTTTTTTCTATGGAAGTTTTTATGTGCCCGATTTCCTCTGTTAAAACATTTATTTAGCTCTTTTATAGACAACAACCATCATTAAATCCCCTTGCTAATGAGAATTATCATTCAGTTGACAGAGCCATTTGTGAGATAAAATATTATATTTTCTTATCCTACTTTTTGTTTAGATTATCTTTTATCCAGCATTCCAGGGAGCGTAGTCCATGAGATTTTGATGTCGTCAACAGTTTTTAAGTGTCAAATCCCTAGTTTCTTTGGTTTTCTGTGCATCTCTTTACGGTTCACAACTCGAAGATCCATCCCTAATTATAGCAGACCATTCTCTTTGAAGATTGATGTTTATAACTAACCACCCGATCTAAAGAGGTTAAGTAGAGGTTCCCATTAGGTAGAATTTTGTTAGCCCAAGCACTTATTTGTTGAGGAGAAACAAACATTTTTGGAATAATAGCGGCTTAAAGAAACTCCAGATCAGAGACTTGGTACATCTTTCGAAGAATTGCTACCTGCATTTGTGACACTTGCTTTCACTCTGTGTATTATACTGCGAATCATTTTATCACTTGTATTGACCAATTACTACCTGGGTTGGGCCTTGTAGCTTTCAGAGAAGATTATCCAGGATCAGAGAATCTTTTTACCTGCTTTTCCCCCCCTCCCCCCCATCCCGCCCCCCGCAAGAAAACACAGCAAAAATAAAACCTGCATGCAATAGCGAACATGAGGCCTTGTTTCTGTCAATCAACCAGCAAGTTGGGAACCTGATCTAATTCCGAGGTCATGACCAGCTTGACCATTGGCACTTATCCCTGAAGATTGAATGTTCATTTCTTGGTTTAAACAGCTAGAAGAGATTCGTAACTGTGCTTGCCCATGTCATTGTTATTTTGTTTTGGCAATGCTATTCTTTTTCTGATCCTTCATATGATTCCTTACCTTATCCTTTCTGAATTCATGCGTTGATGTATAGTTGAATCTTGTGGAGATTGTAAGAGATCCTTTCATACTTCAGGTACATTTTTCTGCACCGAAAGAAGTCTTGTCATCTCATTTCGCGCAATGTGGGCCCATTGTCAGATTAATCACACCAGTCAACACTGTGGCTGCGCAACAACAAGGGTTTTTTTTTTTCTTAATCATGTTTTTGATTCTCTGTATATCTTTTGTTCTCATGAGTCAGAATTGTAACGTAGATTTGTTCTTTTCCAGGTCTGCATACATCACTTTTACCAACAGAGAATCTGTGGACAAGGCTTTATCATTGAATGGTACCACTTTCTTCTCGCGCACACTAAAGGTAAGGGAATTTACATTATATCATTGTATAGCTAGAAGTAAGTCAACTAATTTGGCTCTCGGGATTCATATTGCAATTGTCCTGTACATCGGTCCTGCTTACCATTCTTTTGCATAATGAAAGCTGGGCCTAGTATTCAATTAGCCTCCTTGTAATTTCCCATGCAGATTCTGTGAAGTTTATATTTTCCCTGAGGGAGGGGGATAGGGGGGTGGGGGGTGTTTGATTTGGGCACACTACTTGCTTCGGGCAGGGCTCTGTGATAGTAATCCGATCCAAGATGACGAGGGAGAGAGAACAACCGGTGGATTGGACTAAAAGGAGAAATACAACTGCACAAGATAAAAGAGAGGATAGAGAGGTGGAAACCCCAGGGCGTCACCGTGGTAGTTTCGAGAACACCCCCAACCCTGCACAAGATGCCTTTGACACTTCTTATACCTCCTCCTGAGTAGTTTCTTTTACGGAAGAAAGTTACCAGGGTTGGGCTTGACAATGGGCCTAATACTGTAATGATTAGGCGGACGGGTATAAATTATACTATAGAAGAAAAGCTTTGCTGAAACCTTTACGACTTGTGCTTCGAGTCCTAAAGTGATACTAGTGTACTGTGTGAAAGCCTCCTTGATGATAATGTTGTATTGCAGCATCCAGTTTCTGGTTATCTCCCTTCATAAGCGGAAAAAATTCGTTTAGTTTACCAAATTTGTAGGGAAGGTTGAAATCCTCTTCTTCCATCGAAACTGCAGCTACACTGATAAGCTTATGCTCACACTTCTTCAAACGACTCCCAAGCTCATTCTCCTAGTGAGACGTCTAGTGAGACACATGATTTTTCAAACGACTCCCAAGCTCATTCTCCTGTTGCAAACCAAAATAATGAGACATCAAGATGCCAAGTTCCAATATCTATGGCACAGTTTATAGCAGAGACGTCTAGTGAGACACATGATTTTTCAATTTTTTGTAAAATCTAACGTAGTTGAACAATATTAATGCCAGATTTACTGCCTGACTTTTTCGATTCGTCTCTTACATGTGTATCCCCGTCGTAGAGCTGTGATCTGAGAAATTGTTACATGTTATTTTGATGGTCCAGGATGTCGAACTTTTCAGTTAGTGGATGGAAGAAACAGAGAAGAAAAAAGGAAATTTGATAGCACGATTTGAATTGATTGATAGACTGATACAATGGTAGGAACCACATTGATCTTAGTTTATGCTGCGTCGTAATGAATTTCATAAAAACATAAGTTGGCTATGACAGGAGTCCATATCTTGTTGAGATTTGCCATCAAATCGCTTATTTTACCACCCATCCTTCTGACTTCCTTTTCAGGTGACACGAAAATCCGATGAGCGGGTAGGAACCATCGCGCCAAAGCAAGCAGCCGGGAAGCTACAAAACCTTGTAGTCGGGAGGACAAGACAACCATTCAATTCTGAGTTTCTTGGCAAGGACTTGTCTCAGAAACATTTCTGCGGTCATCTTCAATGGAAACGAGACCAGACGCCAGGTGGGGATAACCCCACATCGGTCACTGCCACGCTGCCATCTCACGTCACGGCCAAGGGCTTGTCCCAGAGGAACCTTTCCTCACGTCTTCAGTGGAGAAGAGAAAAGGCAGCAGCAGGTGGGGACGAGTCCGCGTCGCACGCCGAGCAGTAGAAGTGTGCAGGAAAGCATGGTAGGACTTTTCATGTCATGCGGCGCAAAGCATATGGTCTTCTTTCTGTGGTGCGAGTCGTGTTCCAGTCATACATGTGCTGGATTTTTCGTCGGGTTCTCTGCGGAAAAAAATGTATAGCCGTGGCACTCATCACGGGGAAAACGAAATGTGGACTCTTCTGTCGGTTCGGTCTCACCGGCGTCACACACCAGCAGCTACCAGGCAATTGCCACTTGGTGTCCGCTTCAGACCCAGATTCACCAACTTATTCCCCCGGATGGGTTTCTCAGCAGACGTCCAGGCCTGGGTAAAGCGCTTCCGACGTCCCAGAAGAGCATCCCTGCCTGTAACAGCCGCGAAAAAAAACTGGGAGGGGGTAACACCGGCAGGCCTTGGAAGTCTAGTAGGACCAATTCCATGTGCTCTTCTCCGTCCTTTCTCGTCCACCTTGGAAGTTTTAGTGCACACTCCATCCTCGTGGACTACGACAAGGCAGCATCTGAAGCGGGCCTTGCGGACGGTGGCGATAATCTCCACTGCTGCGCGTCCTCGAGCATACAGACGGCTTCTACCGAGGACGGGCACATGTCGTTGTATCTCCGGGGAGGCAGTCCGGGCGTGTCGATTGTAGGCTCTGTGCTGGATCGGCTCTCTGCGCCCAAGGAAAGAAATCAGCCACCACATGGTTACAAGTAGAGATATAATGAATTAAATAAGCAGAGATACAAACAACGAGGAGCGACTAGCACTTGTAAACTTTGTTCTCAATAGTATTATTATAAAATAAGGAGACTCACATTCTCCCAACAGCACTCCATTGTCATGTGGAAAAGGATTTGTTTGTGCTCAGATGAGTAGCAGAAAATGTATTCTCTCTTCTCATGACCTTATGTGCAATGTTGCTCCGAAACCCACCCTTGTTAAGTCATTCACCTCTAAATTAGCAACCTTGATACAATTACCTTCGTACGTTAGCTCCAGTTCTACTTGGCTCGTCTCTCTCTCTAAGAGTTTGTTATGAGTCACCTCATTGTCTACCATCGGTAAGGTGAGACGACCATTGATGGTGTCTTCCATGTAAATAAGTAATTGTAACCTGTTGATCTCTCTGTCTGACTCTCTAACGCCAATCAGCGAGACCTACCAGGTTCGTGACTAGTGGTGGTGGCTCTTGCATGGTAACGACAATCAACCTCACAGGTTCTCCCCTTCTATTCATACACTCTAGACAGGCCTCAGTTCGAAGGGAGCCCCACAAATGTAGAGTCAGACACTGTGATCGCGGCAGTAAACACCGCTTGCCCTCTCTGGCCTTTGTTGGAGGGAGCTCCACGACCAACACCACCAAAGTTGTCCTTGTCGCTGTCGCGGTTGTTGCCGTTCCAACGGCCCCTGCCGTCTCTGCAGTGCTGTCTCAGCTGCTAATTGTTGGCGCCCATCTCCGCAATGTTCCACGGTTTGCGATAGTTTACTAGTACTTTTGTCAATGGCGACCGACAAATCATTGACGCCCCCGTCAGCACAGCTCTATGTCCCACTCTAAGTTCAGCGGCTCGTCATCCTTAAACATATTCTAGAGATTCAATAGGAGCGACATAAATTGTTTCGCGTACTCTTAAATTATGCCAATGTATCTCGACTAGAAATGTCTTCAGCGTTGCCCGAGCGCAGTCCGTGGGTCGAAATTGTTCCCGTAGTTTTCGGGTTAAATTTATCCACGAGAAAATCGAGGGCTGACACCAATGTTCCGTCCACGTACGCCACCATGATTTGGCGTCGCGTGCGAAGTACATGTTAGGAAGCAACTCATTCTCCCACTTTGGTGTCTCCCTCACTAGAAAATACCGACCGGCGTCTCATGTCAAGTTCTGGATCTCTTTAGGATCCTACAATTCTTTCAGTTTTAAGACTCGTGTTCACGTCATGTCACCTCCTACTGGATGTCTGTCAGTATATATTTCAATGGCACGACCTATGTCGTGAGGTTTTTGTCTCTCGCATCCGTCTTCTCAATGGAGCTCATCTACCGACGATGTGTAGGCGCAGGTGATGACCGTCCGTCTGCTCCTCGACTGTATAAAATCTGGCGTCGAAATCTTAAAAGTAGGCCTTAAAGGTCTCAATGGTTGTGACGATACTTTTGAACCTCAGCTCTGACACTATTTGTCACAAGATTCCCTATCAAACTACTAAAATGGTACGTCCTCACCGCCTCCAACCAACAAGATAAACTCAAAAGACTTGTCCTTGCAAGAGATCATTTGAATTATCTCTTACATTAGGTGTGTTACTCATATATAAACACCCCGCAATTAACGCCACAGGGTACGCATCCAGTGGGCCGCACCTTGATGCTTTAACCCTCTGCGGGTGCTAAGGCCACGGTTCACCCAAGTTCCCATGATCCCCGATTCCCGCGCCGAACAGTTTGTGGCCGTCCCGGGCGCCCCGTGAATTGGGGGGTTGGGGGATTTATGGGGAATACGTTCCCGTCCCCTCCAGGACGGAAGACGGCAGGGAATCGAGGGAGGGGTTCACCCACAAAAACCGCACTAATTCCCCCCCTATCGCAGCGGCAGAGCGGGTATCACAACCAGTTCAACGCGAAAACTCGCAAAACGGAGAGAACTCACGAGCGGGTCTACGACGCGCCAAAAGCAGAGAAAAACCAGAGCAGGAGAGAGACCTTCCGGAAAGCAGAGGGACAGGATTTAACGGGTTCCTTTCTCCCCCTCGAGATACGTGCTATCCAAATCTGCAAGCCCTCCGTCGCTCGCAGGAGGTTGTGTGGCGCCCGACACGCCAGCATCAGGTGCTACGTGGCCACGGCAAGCCTGCTCGGTCCGGAGGGCCGCTGCTGCTCGAAAAAGGGCGCTGCTCGTCCAGTAGTAGGAAAATCTCACGCGTCCTACAAAACGGACGAACAACGACAGGCGAGGGGGGCGCATCAAGGTCGGTTAGGCTAGACACGCTGCTCCTTGGCCCTCAGCGCCAGGCCGTCCTTGCCATGCACGCTCCTGCCGCTGCTGCGTCCAAAGCACAAAAGCAAAGCAAAGTTCATCATCATCATCCATCAGCCTACTGTAGATACTCCCACGGCTCGTTATAAGAATAATAAAAAGAGAGAAGAGGCCGCGGCCAGCGGACGGGAGGTGCTTACTCGTCGTTGCCTGCCCACCTGGGTGGAGGAGGGGCCTCGCACCATACGCGCCGCAGCCTCGACGAAATCTGCTCGATGGACGCTCGCTCCTCGGAATCCATGGCTGCTGCGTCCTGCAGAGCCATCAGGAGCTCTTTCCTCGCCTTCCTCGTCAGATGAAGCCCCCCTGGATCGCTTCCCGTGCTCAGCTCCGCCACCTGCGTCGCACGAGATGCACCATCCATCCATTCGGAACCAGCGGCAGGGGGAGAGGAATACAGAGCAAAGAGTGAATTCAACAGAGACTGATAATGACCCGACCCAATCGAGATCAAGACATAGAGAGAACAAAAATAGAGCAACCCAATTAATTGACTTGCCTGATGCAACCAGGGAATGGCGAGCTCCAGGTACCTCTGATCCGCCGTCATGTACACGGACAGCGCGCAAAGAACGCCGCTGGCGGTCTCTTGAGAGAACGCTTCCAGAACCGCACCGGTTCTATCCATGAGCTCGATCAAAACCAGGTCGTCGCCCGAACCTATCGCCTCTGCGTACGCAGCCTCCAAATCTCCCACGCGCATCATCTCCTTAATCCGTTTCCAAACGGCGCTCCTCGCATCCAATCGGCCCTGCGGAGCGCCGGAAACACGAGCTGGCGAAGTAACGTCTCCTCCGGACTTTCTAGCTTGAATAGTGTCCTCGCAGCGTTGATGGCGTCTCCCACTGCTCTTCTCGCTTCTTCCCTCAGCTATGGGATTCTTCGAGGTAGCATTCTTGGAGGTGTCGCTGGTCCCCATGACAGGAACATTCAATCTACTCGTCGGAAGAGCCGTCTCTCCCGACATCTCCCGACGCCTTGCAGACAGCGAGGAAGACTGCATGTAGCTCGTATCCACCGAACGCCTGGAGCTGCAGCTAGAGGGCCTGGGGGAGGAACCGACGCTATCCTGCAAAAATTTGGATCTCGCCCCGCTGACACAGTTCCTGCTCATGGAAAAATCCTGTGCGATTTTGTCCACTGTGATTTCCAGATTGTGAACTTTTGATTGCAACACCGATAGCGCATCCATTGAATTCGTCGTAAAGCCCTACAAGCAATGGCATTTTCCCGAGTGGCGCTAGCATTAGCAACACATGCAAGTAGCAATTCACAAGAGATAACAAACGCCAATTTACAGATTTTACAGCTAAACACTATATACACTCTCAAACTTTAGAGAAGTATAATCTAGGACTAAGATCGTACACATTGTTATCATACCGCGATCAACACACGGGGTTTTCTAAAAATTTCAAAACGTGTCACATGATGAAGTATAATTTGATCACTCCACATGATGAAGACCAAACTAAAACGATCTATAACAGACGTGTCACAGACCACCACGGATAGAAATCCAAAAATTAACATCCCCTTAGGTAGCCTCGAAATTTCTTTATCGGGGAGGTCACTACCATGTAGAGCTAAAAGGGAATCATATCTGTTGCAACCTTTAATTATCTATGATTTCCTTATTTTTCATTTCAACGCGGACCACCTACCACCAAGACAGAATGATATGGAGTAGACGTTTCACGCAGACATTTCCAGGACTGATATAAATAAAAACAATTAGTCTTAATTCACTTAGCAATAAATCATTACACACAAAACTCATGAGGATTAGCAGGATAATAAGGTTACTCTATTAGTAAGCCAATACTCCAAAAGATGGCATTATACATATCCTTGACAGAATCGTACCTGCATAAGGTCCATTAAACTGGATTGTTTACGTTCGATGTCCAACAGTTGTTTCCTAATGAGAGCCAACTCGCCTGGAGAGGACGAAGGACAGCCACAGAAAACTCCCGGGATTATGCTCTTATACTCTTTAGTCTTGTCCAAATAACCATCCGTTGCAAGATCCATGTCAGCACGAAACCGATGCTTTGGTCTTGAAAGATTAACCGAATTGCCCTCCTCAATAAAGTCAGGTGCAACGGTAACATGCTTAGTTTCAAAACTCATGTTCACTAGATCTGATGTCGCAGAACATTCTGGATTATCATCCAGCAGATCGTACCCATAGTTCTTACCTTGTCTTGGTGTTGCATTGTCGTTTTTCCCCTCAAAACTCTTTGTCACACAACTACCTTCAGATTCTTCATGAAGAGTCTCAACGGGAGGAGTGATGCGAGTTTTTGGAAGTGATATTTCAACATGCCAATCATCAGCTCTAGAGTAGAGATGATCTTGTGCATTATTTTGAGAACCCTTCCTGATGCTGAGAGGACTCCTCTTTGTCATACTAGCACAATTGTCTCTCGAAGCAGAGCGTCCAACTTTCCTTAAAAAGGCATCTTTCCAGCCACCAACACTAGGACTAGTAGACTCAGGGTAATCAACTCGACTCACGTTTTCTGCAACAAAAACAATGTTAACATAAAGAGGTTGCTTAAAGGATAAAATGCCGAAAAGACAAATTCATTGATTTTTAATAGCTTTGCAAAAAGTGACAGCAAACTAAAATTAAGGTCAAAATGTATATAACAGTGTATCCCTTTGACCAGTACAGAAAGCCACAGCAAGAGTATTACCACTCCCATACACCAGCAGCAATAGAACTTGATATTAACACATTCTCCAGCGTTAAATTCCAATTCTGCATCAACTTTTCTGACTCAATACAATCAACCATTAAACCAAGGCTGATCTAAACAACCTCACCTATTTAACAGTGATGCCAATACCATGTTCTTCATTTATTTTTTTCTCGTATTAAACCATGGAATCATACTTATTAGCAAGGAAAAGCACCAAACCGGATGATAAAACGAATGCATGCAGGGTATTTTCAAACGATAGTAATTGACGTCTTAATTGTGCACATCCATATTCTCACGCCAGCAGCCTACCCGAACCTTTAGTAAGTGAACCAGCTTCTAGAGCTTCTAAAGAATCAAGCCCTGGAATGGACTTCCAAGAGCTCAATGCCTGCACAGCCGCGTCCCGCACTGGTTTCACCTAGAAACAAGTGGGATATGATCAATTACAAATAGGAGTAACATGTAACCATACAATTCATATACGTCCTGAGGAAACTGACTTTGTCAAAACGACAACATTCGAGAGAATGGATGCTTGAAGCCTTAAGCGGCCGCAAGGATCCTGATAGCAGTTCAGCACTTTCAGCAATTCCGAGTAGAGCAACAGCTGCAGCCTTGCGTGTTGTCCAGTCACTGCTCTTTAAGGCTTCCTGAATACTATTCACCGCCAATGACAACGTCTGCACCGCAGAAGCACCTCCAGCCTGAATGTTGGAGAAAAACGTCCAGTAAAGTGAAATGGAGCGGCAAAAACGGAGATACATGCTCCTCGCCTTCAGAGAGAAGATTGCTTATTTCGATAATAATGTAATATAACTTATACACAACGGTTTCTCCGTTTATTGACCCTTATTCAGACAATACAACTCAAGGTGACTGTTCTTGTTTCATCTCGATAATTAAGCGTTGTAGTTTATCTGACATATTTCCACACTGACTGGAGAATAGATCCCAAATGAAGACTATCTCAAATAAAAATACCTGAACATTCATTTTGGCGACTGGCTTATTTCCCTAGGATGATTACAACGTAAATAACAAGAACCACTACTTAAACAACAACAAACAAACAAACAAACAAAAATACAAACCGACCTCCTCGCACTTAATGATGTTTTCTGAGTATAGTTCAGGTTGAAATAAAAACAAAAAGATGGACAGATCTAAATAGAATGGACTCGGTTATAGGACGAAAAAGATAGACAACTCGGCTTAACAGTCTCGTAACAAGCAAGACGAAGGCAGATGATAAAGGAAAATATACGACGGATGACTCCACGTTTTCGTAAGCGTAGAGAAAACAAAATTACCTGTATAATACTTCGAATGAGATCGATGAGAGCAGGCTTAGCCATGAAATGTGGATTCTTGAGCAACTTGACGATACGAGTCAACATCTGTGGCAGAAAGGAGATGGGGGCTTCACTCGCCTCATCGAAAACCCTAGTGAGACACATAGCCGCACCTGTCTGGACATATCTATTCTGCTCGCCGAGCGCTTCAAACAAGGGCTTAGACAACACGACAATGGCTCCTCCATCACCAAGTCGAAAGCCACCCAAGTGGGAAGCCAAGATGCCAACAGTCTCTGCACAAGCATCCCTGACGACAGAATCCTGATCCCTGAGCCGTCTCACAATGCTAGTGATCATCTTTCCGAGATGAGGCGCCACGAATGATCCGTGAAGCCTGGCCAACGTGCCCATCATCTTTACACACTCCTTGCGAACTGCGCTCTTCTGCTCGGTATCCGTCTCAATGATGCAGGAAAGGAACGGGATCATGCCCTCCGGCCCTAAACCATCAATCGTCCTGTCAAGCTCTTCCACTCCAATCTGGTATGTGTCACGGTCCGCAAGCTTGTTCATGGCGACAAACACCCGATGCTTTAGTTCGAATGATGCCTGCTGGGAGCTCATCGCCTTGCTCCCATTAGCCTTGATGTTTCTGGATTGGACGTGATGAAGGGACCTCATGGGGTTTGATCCTGACGAAGATGTGGATATTCGGTTCATGAACTATATGCAAGGCCAGATCTGAGAGCCCTCGCGAGGTGATTAAAGTATCTTCAGCATTACCCAGACTCGAGAACGTTTGCCGGGTCACAGTCTCTACAACATTTGACGTCCCCCAGATAGAGGCCCCGTGGCTTCATGCATTAGTAGTCGAAAATGAGTATTGAGGCCGTACTCCAAGCCCTGAAATAATAAACAAGAATGTCAACCAAAGAAGGCCGTATGAACTGGCAGCTACATCGAGCAAGTTCCCGTGAACGAGCGGCGACCCCAGTGAACGATCCATGAAACGTGAGTGAGAAAAAGCGAAGGAGACGGGTCTAAACGTAGAGGAAAACACGGATGAGGGGAGGGTGAAAGCGTGGAGTCCCTCGACAACGAGGCAATAAAGATGCGTCAGAAGCACATTAAAGCGGCCTTTGGCAGATAAACTGAGCTTTTGAATGGGAGAAGGACAGAACGTGACCTACACACAGTAGGGCGAACGAAAACGGGGGAAATTCAATCAGAGGAGGAGATAATGAGAGTGCTGCCCAGAGAGGAGGTGTCCGAGCAAGTGAGGAACATACGGCACAGATGGAGGGAGCAGCCAACTTTAGTGCTCTCCAGAAGAGCACTGCACAGTGAAGTTAAATGCAGGAGAGACGGCCGCCGCGGCGGAAGGGCAGGGGGAATGAATGAGAAGGGAGCGGGCACGCTCGCTCGCTGCCTTACGGAAGGGAAAGGCAGAAGGTTCCCGTCGAGGTCCCCTGGGAGCCTCCCCTCGCGTCTCTCCCCTCCCGGACATTCGACAACCTCCTCCTGCCACCGCAGCAGCACAGCACGCCCCCACCTCGCCCGCAGGAGCCGTTCTCTCCTCTCTCTCTCCCCTATCTCTGTGTCAGTCTGTCTGTCTCTCTCTCTTCTCTTCTCGGGGGGCGGGAGATGGGACGGACTTTGGGCGGGGCGATTCGAATTTCAGATCTCGGAGCAGAAGAGCAACTCGACTCCTTGAAAAGCGCGCGGGATTCAAAATTGAATTGAGTCAGAGGCCCACAGCGGGGCCCACCATGCAACCCCCCGCCCGTAGATTCCCAGCCTCGCGGTAAGTCCAAGTCAGCGCTCAGAAAAGACAACTCGGGAGAACGAAAAGGAGGGGCAAGACCCTGCTGAGTGGGGGCCAACATATTCATAGGAGGTGGGTTCTTTTCCCCTCTTCGACAGGCGGCCACGTAGACCCATGGGCACCAATCAAAAGTGAAGAAAATATCGTGCCCCGGAACGGAGGAAGAGCAAGCAAAACGTCATAACTGGAAGAGAGATGAGAGCCTCCAGAAGACAGAGAGAAAGAGAGCTGGGAGATGAGTCATGGTCATCATTTTCATCATCCCCCGCGCGGGAGGAGGACGTGGTTGCGGTACTCGCCGAGTGCCCAAATGGGGAAGATGTTGCGGTACGCTGAGTAGCTGATCATGCAGTTCCCGTTGGAGGCTCCTATGATCTCCTGCGCATCCAGCGGAGCAGCCAGCGAGGGTCAGCAAAGGTCCTAGCACAGCAGACCAGATCAGAGCGGCTTCTCCTACCTGCTGCGGGAAGTCGCCGTTCTCCATCTGCCCATTTATCAGTACCCTTGCGGCGCGGTGCAGCGGCGCCGGATCTCGCTGCCCCTGCCCCCGCACCGATAGACAAGCAAACAAGGAAACAGGCAAACACCGAACGCGCGTCAGTACTGCACTGCACTGTTCAGACACAAGTTCGCCGACGGGAACGGGTTTTCAGCGTGTGGTTGGGAGAGGAGGAACCTGTCCGGCGTCGATGAGAGCCAGCATTGCCCATGCCGTGTTCACCAGGTGGGATCGATCGCCCGGGAGATTCGTGTAGACCTTCGGACGCAGGCAGAGAAGAAGAGAGATAGATTCATTCATTCAAGAGGACCACTAGACTGTGGACCTTGATTCAGGAGCAAGGAAGGAGGAGCTCTTCTCTTCTTACCTTGTCCTGGGATGAAAGGTAGCTCTCTCCCCAACCCCCCGAGGGGAGCTGCTTCGACAGCAGAAAATCGCAGGCTCTGCGGATTGCGCCGGAGTTCTCGTGGGTTCGTCCGGCGGCAGTCAGCCCCTTGACGCCAAACCAGGTGCCGTAAGTGAAGCACACCCCCCAGGAGCCATACCTGCAGGAAGACTCTCCTTCACGTGAGAGCCGGCCAATAAACTTGGAGGAGCACTAAGCTAGGAGGAGATCTCTCCAGCGGAGGAAGCACAAGTACGAGTAGAGGAGAAGAAGTAGACGCAGACCATGAACCATCCGGGTTCTGAGTCGTCTCGATGAAATGAGCAGCTCTGGTGATGCAGTCGCCGATCTCTTCTCTACGGTGGCCAGGATACAGCTTCCTAAATGCTACCAGGGACTGGATCGATGCAGAAGTGCACTCCACGTATCTGCAACGCCGCATGATCTCGGTGAGGGAAGATACGCTTTCCACGAGGACGGGAATTCTCAGGGCATCAATCCGAACAGGAAGAAGAGGCAAGAAATCCTCACGGGTAATCGATGACAATGCCGCCAAAGGTTTCGGCAGGGTTGAGGACCTGCAGAACCAGCAGAATGTCGACCTTTTTCCCAGAAACAGGAACCTACAACGAGGGACAGACACAGCGGCCAAGGAGGTAGAGCAGGCTCCGGCAGGGGGCGGGATGGTCGAATCAATTGGTTCTCACCTCCAACCAGGCATAGGATCTTGTCCGCTCATATGTTGAGAAACCTCCATCCTCGTTCTGAAGCAAAAACAAGAACGTGACAGAGAACAAATCAAGTCAGATTGATTCCCAGAGGTGGTGCGAGAGGTGAGAGAGGGAGAGGCATGCAGAATAGCGAATGCGATAATGATGCACAAAAAGGGCTGCCGCGATCACCATTATCGAGAGAATAACATTGACGGCATCATACAGACTGCTGGGATCGATTTGCTCCCCAACGATTTGGGCTGGCAAGCGCGACAGTAAGAGCGCAACCTGAAAATCAAACCAAAAAAAGAACATCACGACGATGAACGGTACCGTAGAACATGCATGCACTCAGTCCTGTCAAAAAACAAAGAAAAAAAAAACCTTTAATCCTTCGTCTGTGCAATCAGAAACGGGCCATCCGTGATCCCTAGTTGAAAGGGGCCACGCCCCTTTGGAAATGTGGCGATACCAACGGCTAAGGTCACCGGGGCAGTCTTCAAGGACCTTCATTCGTGACGAAACAGGTCAACTGACAAAGACTCGCATCAATCAGCAAGAGATGCGGGCAAAATGCAAATCCACAGCAGGACAACCTGCGTGGCCTTGATGAAGTCATGCGCCTTCTTGAGGGTGTCACCATATTCTTCATATAGATTGGTGGAAATCATCGCCTGGACAGCAAAGGCGGTGTCCCAAAGTTGGCTTCCATTGTACCCCTGCAGTTACTTCAATGAGCATGAGCATGAGCACTTCACAAATGGCTGTTACCCCAGATGGTGTTGCTATCAAATCAAGATTCGAGAAGGGAAGCAGTAACAATTATAATCCCCTGCAGCCTAAAGCAGGTTCGCAGCACTACTACGCAAAGAGATTTTTGGATCATTTACTGGACCTGCATCTTCATGCCATCCTCAGCAACCCACAGATAATCCTGGATCCTATGAATGTGCAACTTGAATGCCTCCGAATTTGGATCTTCCGCCCAGCAGCAGAGCATATTCAGTGGCTGCAAGGACAATGGCAACTTGAAATCACTAAAATGCTACCCAAAAATCTGGCCAAAAGTGTAGCAGTTATTTAGGCCCATGTCAACATTAAACGTGAATTGGAAAATGATTTGTTCACGTGGATTCAACTGATCCACTGAAGCATTGGACTCACATCAGCATCAACTCGAGGCACCAAACGCACCAACAAGCGACTGATGAGGAAAGAAAGCTACACTGCAAGCTAGGATCACATGGTATTCTGTCCCATTGCGCTTCTGAAGAGAGTTAGAGAAGGAAAAGCGGTTGATTGCCTTTGTTCTCCGATACACAGAGCCGAATAAGTCAGCTCTTACCCGAATCGGGACTGAGATCCGCCAGGTACAATCTACTTCTAAGATCGAGCGTTTCACTCATTCACGACTAATTCCCGATCTGCAGATTCGGTTTGTCGCTAAATGCGGTCACTTTCGTTTGTCAAGACAATATTTATGATTTATAAGCATCTCAACCATTCACCAAACATGCCAAACATAGAGCGTGAGAAAATGGGAGGAGTGTCTGTTATGGCTACCTTATTTACTGGTCCAACGCAAATATAACGTGTGTTCTCATCTTCATAGTGAATATGTTCCATCACAGTTTTCAAAGCCTTCTCTCTCAACAGAGTGCCGGGCCAACGCATTAGAACGGGTTCAACAGCCTTGTGGAGACACGCCCAAAGCATATCTTGTATGAGTGGATGTGGATAATAAAGATCCTCCTGCAATAAGAGGAAGAGAGAGAGAGAGAGAGAGAGCAAGCAAGAAAGAACTCATTACAAACGAGCCCTTAAAAAGTAGAATAACTTTCACTCGAAATGCCAAAGCTCGTGAGCATTAAGGTATTCATTTTTGCCGAAGTGTTGTACAGATGGAAATGCAGAACTGAAGTAAAACTTGTGGCTACAAGAAGAATTTAAACATAGGGAGCAACGGATAAAATCCGATCCTGATTGGACACCTAGTCTTGCTTTTCCTCGGGGAAATCTTTCGCTACAATCATATAAATCAAAGCCCTGCGAGGTGAGCAATCTTATTCTCAACACGAGCATAAGCGAATAGTTGCCCTGGCCATGCACCACACTAACACCAGATCTTTTAGATAGACCGACCTTTGCACACGAGTTTCGCGCCTTGTCCCAGTCCAAGTTGTCGTAAGGAACAGCATACAGCTCCTTCCTTAGTGCCAACACCAATGGTGTGATTGGGCCAACAAATCTCTTCCCATA